ACGCGCGTGGCCGCCTGCCCGGGCTCCCACTGCTTCCTCATCACCAACTTAGAAGATAACGAGACCTTGTCGGCCGCGATGGCCAAGGGTCGCTCAGCTTCGCCTGCGCTAAATCCACTTCTCAGGCGACGTGCAGGACTGTGTCTAGCCACTGGGATTGGCTTTCTGTTGCCGTGGGTGGACACCAAACACCAAGCTGCTGACTGGCTATCACGATGTCGTGGTCGCCTCTGACTCGCGTGGCTGGGCCGCGGCGGCTCGACGAGCATCATGCCGCCAAGGCGCAGCCGCATACCCTTGACAACTACAGACGCGCCGCCAAGTTGCTCACCGACTGGGCGGCGTTGCATGGACTGGACCCTCATGGAGCTGACCAGTGGGACGATCTGCTGGTAGAATTCAAGGCCGACAACGTGGACCACGACGCCAGCGAAGTTTGACCAGGTGGTCGCTTCAGTGGAGTTCTTTTTCCCGCGTTTACGAGGCAAGTTTGCCTGGGCCCCCGCTGTTCTTCGAGGATGGGAGTCCGCTGCGCCCAGGCGCCACGCAGTGCCCCTGGGGCGCTCGCCGGGCAAGTTGCCGGCGTGCCATCTTGCCTCTTGGGGCCACGGTCGCTTAGGACTGGGCCTGATACTGCAGTGCTCGACTGGAATGCGTCTGTCAGAAATGCTGGGTATGTTGGTCGAGCACCTCTCCTTTCCTCACCAGCGTGGTGCCAGCATTGCATCATCGCCGCTTCTCATCGCTCTTGGCACTAAGAAAGGTACGAAGTCAAAGCGGGCCCAGGTTGTCATGGTCAATCAGAAGGATGAGGTTTTGGTTTGGATATTAGCAGGTCTGGCAGCAGCTACTCCGCCTGGTCAACCCCTCGTCCCGTACTCCCTCGCCCGCTACCGCGCCCTGCTCAAGCAAGCCGAGCAGGCCTTGGGCGCGTCTGTGGGCTGGGGCCCGCACAGCCCGCGCGCCGGTTGGGCGACCGACGCCCGCGCGGAGGGGATCAGCTTCTCCGAGGTAGATCTTCGAGGGCGGCAGGTGGGTGAGTGACAGCAGCCTACGTATCTACTTAGACGTGCTGGGCGCGAACACCGTCCTCCAGCAGTTGCAGCAGCGCGGCCTGTCGGACCAGCTGCGCTGGATGAATTCCATCTGGCCGATCTACTTCACGCTATCTGTCGGACCCCGACTTCGCACCATGGCTCCCGAGGGCACCAAGATGATCAACGACGTGTGGACCAAAGTGGTAGCCGACAGCCGAGTCGCCTCACCCGCGCCCTCGGCGCGCTCTGGCGACAGCTCGTGGAGTAAGATCTCTCCGCTGTCCGCGGCGTCGTCGGCTTTCCACGCGCCAGTGGGACCGGCCGGGGGGCTGGGCCTGCCGATGCCGCCCACGACGCCCGAGGCGGCGCAGGACCTCGCCCGCCGCCTGGAGCTTGAGGCGCACCAGCACCAGGCCGCTCAGAAGGCGTCGAGCGCCCAGGTCAACAGGGCGAAGAGGTCTACCAGTCGCTGTGGCACCTACGTTCGCACCCTGGGCCGATGGGGCTGCGGGCGTCGCTGCAATCTCGTGTCCCAGTGCACGGTGCTGCTGGTCGTGATTGCCTTGCTGCCGGCTTGGCTGGCGCCCTCGCTGGCGCGCAGCGTGGGCGCCGCGGTGAGCCTGTCCGAGGATCTCGCCGACGCCGCGGGAGCGATCGCCCAGGTGGCCAAGAATGCCACGTTGCTGGTCTCCGACGTCGCCGTGTCTTTCACCAAGGGCACCATGTCCGTGATGCACGAGGCATGGGCGGGCGTTGACCTCGCTGATACCTCGGTCAACGCCTCGGGCGCTCGCTTCCTGGTCATCGGCGGAGTGTCGCAGCAGGAGTTCGAGGCAAGCGAGGTGGCGGCCACGTTGCGTCCGCTGCCGCCAGAGCACTCGCAGTGGCTGTGGAAGGCAGTGAGCCGTGTGGGGCCCAGCTCGCCGCGCGTCTCGGCGAGCGACTGCCAGTTCAGGACGGCCTCGTACTTCGACTACTTCGAGTTCGAGGCCCTCATCTTCCCGAGCGGCGACGTGGGGGTGCGCTTCGTCTGGGCGCGCATGGGCTTCAAGGCGGTGTGGGCCAACCCGCTGTGGGAGCTGCTCGGCGTCGACGCGACCTCCGAGCTGGCCCCCATCGCCGCGCGGACCCGGGACACGATCGCAGAGGCGCTCGACCTGGACTGGCTCCGCGCGCCGCTCACGGACGACGAGGACGAGGCCAGAGTCACGCCCCCGACGTGGTCTCGTTGGCTGCAGTGGGCCCGCCAGTACCCGTCGTGGGCGCAGATCGCTAGCGGGAGTCGGTGATGGCGGGGGACTTTTCCTTCGGTGGTGCTGCAGTTCGAGGGGCGCCGGAGTGCAGCCCTTTCATGCGTGGTCGGAGCTTCCGCGTCAGATCACAAGTGGAAGTCGGAAGTGAGACCATCACCGTGTTGAGTTTCAGAATTCCTTGCAGCACGTTTCCGGCGAGTGGAGTGTGCCACTCGACTTTCCAAGGAGTTGAGCGGCTTAGGCCGCAGAGAGAAGTTTCAGATATGTTCAGGTGGATACCGCATCTGGTCGTTGCAAAAGGTTGTCACCGTCAATTGGATTGGGCTGCCGCCCTACTCCGTCAGCCTGGGTGGGTCTGGGTGGGCGCAAAGTTCCCGATCACGTATTGGGACATTATGAATGAATGAGCTTGAGAATGGAGATTAATGTGCGTGAGCATTTGCCTGTTTGAGCTTGCCGGCAGAAACCGACCCCTTTCAGTCAAAAGGGGTCGGTTTATTGTGTCTCATTTTCCATAGCTGTTTCTGGCCCCCCCCATAATACCTCAATGAATGAAACTAGGCAGAGTCGTTTAAATATTGAAGCTTCCCTCCCTAGTATCGTGACAAGTATTGCATGTCCCGGAACGTTCCGGGTGCCCTCTCAGACTTTCTCAACGGTGTTGGAAGTAAAACCATCACCGTGTTGAGTTTCAGAATTCTTTGCAGCACGTTTCCGGCGAGTGGAGTGCGCCATTCGACTTTCCAAGGAGTCGAGCGGCTTAGGCCGCCGAGAGAGAAGCTTCAGATATGTTCAGGTGGATACCGCATCTGGTCGTTGCAAAAGGTTGTCACCGTCAATTGGATTGGGTTGCCGCCCTACTCCGTCAGCCTGGGTGGGTCTGGGTGGGCACAAAGTTCCCGATCACGTATTGGGACATTATATATATATATATATATATATATATCCGTAAGGGTTTCCCCCCTTGCCGCCGGCCCCCTCTCTCGGATAATGGGCCATGGAAGAGCGAAGTCATGAGGCCTTGGCGCTGTCGTGAAGCAGTATCGAAACTTCATGCGAAGCCGATTCGCAATCAGCAAAACCAGCTGATCACAAGAGGGGTTACCACACCTGGCGATTGGTGAGACGTGTATGGTTTACGGGCTTGGTTGCCACACCTTGCGATTAAAGGGCCGAGGGAGTTCTCGCAGTTCGGGTTACCACGCCTTGCGATGGATGTGCGTGAAGGGTGGCACCGAATTTCAGAAATATGGCAAATCCCCTCTGTTTTTGGACCCTGACCCCGCGGATCTGCGTGAGGGGTGGCGCCGAATTTCAGACATGTGGCAAATCTCCTGTGTTTTTGGATCCTGACCCCGCGGATCTGCGTGAGGGGTGGCACCGAATTTCAGAAATGTGGCAAATCCCCTATGTTTTTTTGGACCCTGACCCCGCGGATCTGCGTGAGGGGTGGCACCGAATTTCAGAAATGTGGCAAATCCTTTCTGTGTTTTTTAGGCCCTGACCCCGCGGATCTGCGTGAAGGGTGGCACCGAATTTCAGAAATGTTGCAAATCTCCTCTGTTTTTGGACCCTGACCCCGCGGATCTGCGTGAGGGGTGGCACCGAATTTCAGAAATGTGGCAAATCCCCTGTGTTTTTGGATCCTGACCCCGCGGATCTGCGTGAGGGGTGGCACCGAATTTCAGAAATGTAGCAAATCCCCTATGTTTGTGGACCCTGACCCTGCGGATCTGCGTGAGGGGTGGCACCGGATTTCAGAAATGTGGCAAATCCCCTGTGTTTTCGGACCCTGACCCCGCGGATCTGCGTGAGGGGTGTCGGTTTCGAGCCCCCCCCAGCAATTCAGACAACGCGCCCAGGGGGTGCTGAAAAGCCGGTTTGGGTTTCCCCCCCCCTCGCGCGGTCAATCAACTAGTTACAGTAACCAGCAGTAAACAGAACTGCAACACTGGAAACTACAAGCTACAACTGGTACAGGAAACTGCGAATCCCGCTCCTACAGCCTGGTGGCCCCACAAGGGGGCCGGCGCAGATAGATATATATATATATATATATATATATATATATATATAAAGACGTACATATATCCCCGCGCACCAGGCCCGGGCGCCAGCGCCCGGTCCCCGAGCGCGCATGGGGAGGGGGGGGCTTGGGGGCGCTCCGACACGGCCCAAGACAGCCCCGACACGGCATCCGAGGGCCCAGAAAGCCATCAAACGGCCCAAGACGCCGAAGATGGCCCCACGGCGGCTCCAGAAAGCTCCCAAGACGGCCCAGGAGGTCCCAAGAGGGCTCCGAGATGGCCCAAGAGGGCACCAGCACGGCCCACGAGGCCCCCTAGACGGCCAAGAGGGCCCCAGGACAACCCCAAAAAGATGCCAGAGGGGGTACCCGACCGGCCTTTCGGGGAGGAGGAGGAGGAGGAGGAGGAGGAGGAGGAGGACGCGGAGGAGAAAGAGGAGGAGGAGGAGGAGGAGGAGGATCAGGAGGAGGAGGAGGAGGAGGAGGAGGAGAAAGCGGAAGAGGCAGAGGAGGAGGAGGAGGAGGAGGAGGAGGAGGAGGAGGAGGAGGAGCAGGAAGCGGAGGAGGAAGAGGAGGAGGAAGAGGAGGAGGAGGAGGAGGAGGAGGAGGAGGAGGACGAGGTGGGGGAGGCGGGAGCTCCGCGCTCCGCGCGGGGGCGCCGCCCTGGGCCCTCGGCCCGGCCAGCTGCAGCTCGTCGCCCCCGAGTTCGAAGGCCTCACGCCCCTGCAGAGGCCCAGCCCCGCCGCCGCGCCCCGCCGCCTCGGGCGAGCGGGGCAATCGAAGTGGTCGGGGCTCCAGGGACGGGGGTCGATGCAAGCGGTCGGCGGCGAGCGAGGTTTTCGGGCGGGTTCGTCGGTTCCCGACGGTTTTCCAGCCCCAGGATGCGTTCCAGCGGATGCGCCTCGTCGAGAGCGTTCCCGGAGTGTCGTGATCGTCCCGAACGACCGCCAACGACCAGAGTTATGACCCAGAAGCCAAATTCGGCGGAGCGCCCGGGGGGGAAGTGAGGAGGAGGAGAAGACCCTCTCAGAAGGCAGCGGGCCTTGTCAGACGCCTTCCGGGCTTCTGAGAGGGTTTTTTTTTTTGTGCGTCGGGGAAAGCTTCGAAAACTTCTCAGACGGCCGGGATACTTCCGAGCCTTCTTAGCCGGGGTCAGTGCAAGCGGGGGTCAGCCGGGGCACCAGGTCTTGCAGGATCCTGCATAGCCAGGGCTGTACGGACCCTGGCTTGAGTGCAGGATCCGGCAGTGATCCTGACTGACCCTGGCTTTTTTTTATTGTAGAGGCCTCCAGCCGCTGCCGCCGATCCAGGACGATCCCGCTGTCAGAAGGACGTTTTCGCCCCAGCGCGCTTGTTCAAACGTAAGTGTTTTGGAAACAGCTTGGAGGCATTGCGTGGCCTTCTTGAGGGGCCTCTACGACGCATCTTCGAGGCATCCTGGGGGGGCGTCTTGGAGGTGATTGATGAGCCTCTTGGGGGCCTTTTGGGCTTTTTGGGGGGCATGCAGGATGAATCCTGGAGGCCTCCTGGGGGTGTGTAGGAGGTAATGTTTAAACCTTCGGGAGCGCTTTTGGGGGCCTCTTGAGGGCCACTTGGAGCCTCTCGGAGTTTCTTGGGGACTCCTAGGGCCGCTTTGGTGTCTCCTGGGCGCCTCTTGGGCCGTCTTGGGCCCTTCTGGGGCCGTCATGGAGCTCTCTTGGGCGCGTCTTGGGTCCGTCCTGGAGCCTTCTTGGGCCGACTTGGGGCCCGTTTGAGAGCCTCTGGGCCTGTTTTGAGGGTCTCTTGGGCCGTGTTGGACACTGCGAAGTCCGAAGAAGCGATAATGCAAAGCATGCAAGTTTTCCGTCTTTGGGCACTCTTAGGAGGTGTCGGGAGGGCACGTTGGAGGCTTCTGGAGCCGTCTGAGGAACATATTGAGTGTCTTGGAGCGATGTTTCGGCCACTCAGGGCCCTCTTGGGCTGTCTGGGCGGCCGCTGGGTTTTTTATGAGCCCGCGTTCGAGCTTTCCGGGGCGAGGGGCCGACCAGGAGTGAGCTGGAGCTCCGATTCTGCCACCAAAAGTTGACTCGGAACCACCCCCCACCCGCCACTTTACCCCGGCAGAGCCACCCCGGCACCCACCCACCCAGCAGAGCTGAAGCTCAAGAACTGAGGCTCAGGCTATATCTGAGGGTCTTTGAATCTCACACGCCAGATCGGCGGATTTTTGGGAGGAGCACCACACGTCCCCTGCTCACAGCACGCCTGGCTATTCGCCAGCGTGGAAGCGCAGGCCCCTGGATCTCTTATTCGGACGACGGGGCGGGTCGACAAAGGAACGCGGGCCAGGCAAGGGACAGAAACGGGCAGGACAGCGAGGAGCCGAGGAGCGAGAAAGGGAGAAGGAGAGGGAGGGAGGGCGACAAGGAAGGACAGACCGGGCCGACAGACGGAGGAACGGGAAGACGCGGAGGGGAAGCCAAGGAGGGAGGGGGAGAGAGAGAGAGAGAGAGAGAGAGAGAAAGAAAGAGAGATAGAGAGAGAGCACGCAACGCACAAGGGCAAGGACGGAAAAAGGCAAGGGGAGGAGGAGAGGAGCAGGAGCGACAAGGGGCCGGGGCCAAGGCAAGGAAGAAGGCAGGCCAAGAAGCTCGCTAGAGGCAACACAGCACCCCTACAACACTAGAGACACTCTACAGCCGCACCTATGGATGGAGCAGGGCCCTGGCCGCATCAGCAGCCCCTGGGGCGACTGTCGCCGTGCCCGGGGCCCGCTTGAGCACCGCCTGGGGGTTGGCCCGCCGAACAGCGACGCACACGCCTTCCAAGTATTCCTGCATGTGCAGACTCTCCGCCTTGCCATCTCTGGCCTGAGCTTTTTTGGCCTTGCTGGGCATAGCCGTCAGGAAGCCAGAGGCGCCGGGTAAGGTCTCCGACAATACTGCGGCCCGGACGGCAGGGCTGGCGCGCGCCAGGCGGTCGCGTAAGCTCGCCTTGTCTAGCGCGTCAGACAGCCCCCTCTGCGAAACTGGGGAGGTGTCCACCAACTGGCGCGCCGCCTGGTCCGGCAGCTCTGCCTGCAGCTGCAGCGTCGCGGCCGCGTGCTGGAGGCCAGAACCAGCATCGTCTGCATCCCAATGGTAGTGGGCGTCGATCTGGGTGCAGAGGTCCCTGGTGGCGACGCGCGACGCGAAGTACGCAGTCGCCGAGTGCCGCAGCGAGCTCTGTAGGCCAAGCCCTGCGTGTCGGAAGCCGAGCGTGGCCTGCAACCACTCGTCCTCGGTCGGTTGGAAGCCAAGGATGCCAGCAAAGGCGTCGCGGACCGAGCTGTCGAAGGCGGCGAGGGGAGCAGCCGCTGCCGCCGGCATGGGGAGGCGGGGCTATCGATGCCCCAGCAAGGCCCCGAGGGCCAGAAGAGGAAAAGGTTACCAATGCCGCTGCTCGTCCTGGAGATCTCTCGTCGCCACGGCTGGATCCTTCTCGAGATTCTAAAGCACAGTCGGAGAGGTCGGGGTGTACCTTTTTGCTTCCCTGGAGGGCGGCCAGAGATTCAGCCAGGGCAGCCCCGAAGTGGCCAGGATGCGCCCTCAAGATGGCCAGCAAGGATTCCCCCGCCTGTGGTCTCCTCATCCTGCCCCTGTTTCTCCTTCGCGTCCTTGTCCTCCGCCGCCGCCGCCTCTACCTCCTTCTCCTCCTCCTCCTCCTCCTCCTCCTCCTCCTCCTCCTCCTCCTCCTCCTCCTCCTCCTCCCTCTCCTAATTACTCTAGCGCTCATGATCCGTGTCGTCAGCCATTCCTCCCCTCCCTCACTCCTGCCTTTCTCCTCTCCTATGCTCCCTCATCGCTGCCTCCTTTCTCTTCCCCCTCATGCCTTCTCCTTCCTTCTCCCTGCTCTCTCGCCCTCCTCATTCTCCCTCCTCCGCATCCGCTTCGGCACTCCCCCCTCCACGTCGTCTCCCCCCCGTCCTCCACCTGCCAGTCCTCCTTGCGAACGGCCGCCGCGCCGACGCGCACTTCGCCGCGCGAGGCAGCAGAAAGTTTTCGACGCCCTGAACGAGAAGGACGTGATGAAGCGGGTCGGGGCCCAGGGGAGACGGGCGGGGCTGGGACCAAGCGATAAATCGTCCCAGAGCGTTCCAGAACGCTCTCAAGGTGTTTTGGAGCGCTCTGGAACGGTCGCGGCGCCCGATGCATCCTCCAGAGCCGCTGGAACTCAGAGATCCTGGATTTCCCCCGGTACGATGTTGTCCTATCCATGGCCTCTTCTTAGGGATGTGACGACCGGTCGGACCAGTCGCGAGCCCGTCCTAGAAAAACAAGACATTGCCCAAACATCAATTTTCGCAGCTCCAGACGGATTTCTTGGACCGGCGCTGGACACCCCTTCCCAGCGCGCGGACCGCGCCAGGGTGGCCCAGCGCCGATCCGCGACATCGGCGTGGAGCCCTGGAAGTTGCTATGCTTGTGCAGCGGACTGTGCTGCCTCTGCGTCCGGAGCTCGCGTGTCGCTGCGATGACGTGCTTGGCCACCCACAGAAGGGGGGGCGGCCTTCCAGGAGCGACACATGGACGTGCACGTACATGAGTCCACGCTGGTTTCGAACGTAGGTTCTGCGCGAACGTTCGTATCACGAGGCTGGTCTCGCGGACTGGAGGACCGTACTCATGCACGGTAGGTTCGTAAGGCGTTGGCGCGCTGGCGACGCTGGCGAAGGCGCTCAAGGTTGAGTTCTGCGACGCGGGAGCACCGGTGAGCACGGTGACGCCATGGGGCCCGACTGGGTTCAACCTCGAACGATCTGGGCCGCGAGCGATGCACGGGTGAACGACCGTTGTGTTGCCACAGGCCTTTGCCGCGCGCCGACGCACGAGCCCACCGTACGTGGTTGGGCGCATGCGTCCTGTGTGGGTTCCCTGGCACGTGCGGCGGCGAGCAGCGGCGGCAGCCCTCGGGCGCGGCGAGCAGGCGGCGAGCAGGCGGCAGCCCGCGGCGGCGCAGGCGGCGGCGAGCGCAGGATGAGGCAGTGGGCGGCAGCAAACCGAGAGGCGTGGTGGCCAGAGCGGGTTCGGAGGCCCCCGGGTGGGGACATCTGCTGGGGGGGGCGTCTCACATCTCACACGCTTGGAGGCCCACGAAGGGGTCGGCGAACTGCAGATGTGCGCGCTTATTCCCCTGACAGCGGTTCCTCGCTCTTCTCGGTGCTCCTCCTCTCTCGTTCCGGCGGTTCGTAGAGGGGGGGTTATCCCAAGGAGGGATAGCAACGTCGACAACGCTGGCAACGTTGATTTTTCGCAAGGCTGAACAATTGGTAAGTTCTGGGTCTGCGCTGTTCGGGGCACGAGGTGGGGTCGACATCTTCGCCAACGTTGCCAAAAGGGATCCAGGCGCACAGCGTCCCCCTCTCTCCCGAGGTGGGGTTGGGGGACGAGCCCAGCTGGATGCTCACATTTCCTGCCCCCGGGTGCCGTCCAGAGCGATTTTCCTCGAACCCCACCTCTGCCGCTGCCCCACCTTCACGTCCCCCCGATCATTCTCCTCCTTCCCCCCCTCCGTGCGACCCCACGGGGTATACCCAGGAGGCATGCGCAACTGTTTGTTGTTCACGACGGGGGAGGAGCAGGAGAAGCGGAGTTGGAGGAGGGGGATGCAGTGTGGGTATTCGGCAGACAGCAGCGAGCGTGCCCGAGACTGCCCTGAAGGGAGTAAGCGCTCCCAGACCACGGAATGCAGCCTCCTGCTTGTGCCGACCCCGCCTGCTCACCACCTGCTCACCGCTGACGATTCGATTGCAAGAGCTCTTGAGTTGACGGCTGCCGAACACCTTCAAGCATCCATATCCAGCGAGCGGCGGTTCGTTATTTGACACGCCTATTTTGGCACTGAGTTTGAGAGCAGCAAGTTGCTGACTAGTCACTAGTCCTCAAACAGTCTTCCAGCATCGCCTAATCCCAGCGTTGGTAGTGGAAGCGAATTTTTTTGAATGGAGGCGGTTCATCCTTCCAGGCCGTCTCCGGGCGCAACGACTCCCCTTGTCGCAATGCAGCTGATGACTCTGGCCCCAGCTCATCCCCGCCCGCGGTGCTGCAGCTGACAGCATTGACTCTAACTACTATCAACACGGCGTGCAGTGGCAGTCTTTGATTATCTTTCCTCCTGTCTCATTCCCACGGGCCCACGCAGCGTAGCTGAATGGTGTCAGGCTCCAGGCGTGATCCCCAGATCGCGCTGTGTGGAATTGGTGCCAGCTGCCGTTGCCCCCCTCTCGAAAGCCACTTCTAGCAGCACACCCTGGTCGCAGTGTAGGCGCGGTCGTCGGGTTCGCGCTAACTTCGCCACTGAGGAGGAGGTCGATGACGTCGGCGACGACGACCACCACTACCTCCATGACGTCGGACGAGCGACACACGCACGACGACCACGACGGCGGCGGGGGTCCGGCGGCACGCGATGGGCGGCGGGCGACGGACGACGGGCGGTGGGCGACGAGGGGGGAGGTCCACGCCCTGTCGCTGGTCACCCGCACGCCCGCGGAGATGGCCCGGCTCCAGGCGGCGTGAGGCGTCCCCGAGCCAGAGCCAGCGGGGCCTTGGGCCGCTGGAGGGGGCCCGGAGCGGCGGGGGCGCTCTCGTGCAGCTGGTCCCAGTGCTGGTGTGTCATCCCTCCTCCGGGGCTGGGGGCGGGGGTTGGCTGGCGGCGCGCACAAGGGGCCACAGGGGGAGGTGGGAAGGCTTCTTAGAAGGAGGCCGCTTCTTCGAAGGCGCGGGCCCTACATCGACAGGTCAGGCCCGCGCCTTCAAAGAAGCAGTGGTGCTGCTAAGAAGCTCTCCCCCCTCTCCCTACCCCCTTGCGCGCGCTGCCAAGCTGGGGTTTTCGGGGGTGGGTGGCGTCGTGCGGTCTCCGAATGCTTCTGGAGGTTGCTGCAGCCTCTGTGCCCAAGGGGGTTCTGCAGAGAGAGAACGAAGGAAGAGGAAGGATGGGGAGGAGGAGGGGGGAGAAGGATGAGGATGGAATGATTTGAGGAGATCAGGACGAAGACGAGGAGAACGAGGGAGGATATGCAGGAGCAGGGGGAAAAATAGGAAAAGGAGGAGAAGGTGGAGGAGGAGGAAGAGGAGCAGGAGGATTAACTGGAGGAAGAAGAGGAGGAGGAATACCACTGCAAACCCAAGACGCATCAGCTATGCTGTAATAAACCCTTCCTACAAGTTCCCTCTTTGGAAACCGCCCGCCCGCCGTTTGAAGACGAATGTGTGCGGCGCTGAAGCGAGAGCAAATGTTTGAAAACCACCCGCCCTCCACCCGTGAAACTGTTGCACAAATTCAAGCTTCAGGATTTGACAGTGGGAGGAAGTCTCAGGCGAAACTCCTGGCCCGCACCACCGAGGGAGCTCATCCTAAAGAAGTGATGAAGCAGAAGAAAGGAGAGGGACGGAGGAGGAGGAGGAGGAGGAGGAGGAGGAGGAGGAGGAGTGGTGAGAGAAAGAGGAAGAGGAGGACGAGGAGGGGGTGGGAGGAGGAGGAGGTGAGGAGGTCGAGAAGGAGGAGGAGGAGAAGGAGAAGGAGCAGGGGTTGGAGGGTGCATGAAGGAGGGAGCAGGACGGGCAAGGCGACGGAGAAGCATGTGGAGGCTTCAGCGTAGGGAGGGGTCCGGGTGCTTCCTTGGAGCGCCCTCCGCCTCCTCCGCCTGCTCCATCCTTCGTCCCATCCACCTCCTCCGCACCTGGAACGCTTGACGGTGGCAGGTGCTGCTTTTATTGTCAGGACTCAGAGAGCGGGGACGCGCATCAGGTGTTCATTGGTATCTTTCGACGGCGAGCGAGGGGGGGAAGCGAGAAGGAGAAGGCCTCAGAAGGCGGCGGGGCTTCTCGGAAGCCTTCGCGACTTCTGAAGATTTCTGCGTCTCTGGGGGAGGCTTAGAAACTTCTCAGAAGGCCCGGGGACTTCCGAGCCTTCCGAGAAGACCCGCATTCTGTCACTTCCCCCCTCGCTCGCCGCCGAATCTTGCCAGGGTGCCGTGGGCCTCTTGAGTTCGGAGGGGGCTGCAGTGCGATCGCGGGGCTCCCAGGAGTTTGCGTCCTCCGAAACTCTCAGGCTTGGGGATCAGGGCATCTCGTGCACGTTTGCCGTGGCCGAAGGCCGGATTTACGGCAGGTTCGTGTCGTGCCGACGCGGCGGCGACCCCGCCGCGAGCGTTCAGGGTTGAACGCCGCCAGTGGCCCAGAATCAGCCAACACAGAACGATTTGGCGATCGAGGAGCCGCCGATCGTCGACGATTGAACGATCCACGTGGTGTTTGTATCTAACGCTGGGGTCGTCACGACCCGATTTTGCCCTGCCTGAGATCCTCGCAGGAGGGGGCACTCGGCTCTCCTGTGCCCCCGACCTCGTTGCCCCGTTCCCGCAGTCCCTGCTCGGCGCCCAGCGCCGCCGGGAAGCAACAGCCACGCTTCTCCGCCTGCCCTCAGTGGCCCGCCCTTTTTGCGCGCTTGGCTGGAAAGGGGCGGCCCAGACCACGGGCCATGTGGGCGGTCTGGCTGGAAAGAGGCGTTCTGGGAGCACTGTTGGCAGGCATTGCGCATGGCATGTGCATTCCTAGAAATGCATAGCCCTGATAGACGTGGTCTTCTGCGTGTAAGTCATGCGAACGTAGTCTCAACTAGGCAATGTAGTCATTGGATGTTGTTTCGTATTGATGCGGCCATCCGCTGTCCACGTAGGCAACGATGCCATGTACAGGTGCATGTTTGGAGACTGAACCAGGGAGAACAGGAGGCGGTGCGCGGGCTGCGGTCTGAGAACTTGGGCCAGGTGGCGTGGACCCTAATGACATCTCAACGTTGGCATGAGTTGGATTTGGCGGTAACGTGGAGTGCACGCAGCGAGGAGGGAGCGGTTCCTTGCTTGTTCCCGCGTGGGCTACTATGTATGTATTCTGTATCCTCATCACCCACCCCCCTCTCTATAACCTCCCCCTCCTTCCCTCCCTCCCCTGCTGAATATCCTGCCCCTCCGATATCCATCTCGCTCTCTCTCTCTCTCTCTCGTGGCGCCTTCAGTGCAACATGAGTTTCGCATTGCTCTTGGACGATGCTATGAGTGCGTGTTGCACTGTGATGCGCAAGTGGCCCTTGCTTGTTTTCTGTTCCAACACTATCGGGTTATGTTGTGAGGAAGTTGTGTAACCTGGCCCACGGATTACTCCTTAAGCGTTGCTATTCTGCCAGAGGCTGGCGGCATGATTACCACGATTCGAATTGTACGGATATTACACCAGCGAAAGCCCCAACCAGTGGATGGTTTGAACATTTGGCAGGCACCATGCCTGGCCGCAGTTTCGCCCAAATGCTGACTCCTTTTAACTTTTAGGGAGTTTGTGGCATTCTCGCCTTCTTGTGCATCCGTCGGTTCGAAAAGGCCCAAGAGGCCTTCAAGATGGACGACCTGAGAGGGCCCGTCGACGGCCCAATACGGCCTCAATTCGGCCCTGCGACGGCCCGAAGAGACCGAGCAGATGGCGAAGAGCGCCTCAAGACGGCCCACGCGAGTCTCAAGATTGCTCCACGGAATCCCAGGAGAGCCCCGGGACGGCCCGAGTGAATTCCCAGAAGTAAGGTCGAGAGATGCCAGATGTGACGGCGTTTCTCTGATGCCTTTTGTTGCCCATGATCAGTGTCATCAGCATCACCGGTCGTCATCATCATCATCATCATCATCATCATCATCATCATCTTCATCTTCATCTTCATCTTCATCATCATCATCATCATCATCAACCTCATCATCAGCAACATCATCATCATCATCATCATCATCATCATCATCATCAGCATCAGCATCAGCATCAGCATCAGCATCAACATCATCAGCATCATCATCATGATCAGTATCATCATCATCGTCATCGTTATCGTCATCATCACCATCATCATTATCGTCATCGTCATCGTCATCGTCATCATCATCATCATCGTCATCATCATCATCATCATCATCATCATCCCTAACCGTTTTGGCTCAAGGTCTAAACGTGCGTCCTTGACGTTTCGAGCTTGGGCGCTACCGAAAGGTCGGGTCGTGCGTGCTTTCTGAGGTCAGGCCTCCTGGTGGCCAGCCCGATTCCCCCTGCGACCCTGCCGAAAGCCAATAATTTGAGATCGGTTCTGGTTGGGGGGGGTTAGTTTCAAAGGTGAGTTCAGTAGGGAGATCTTTGCCCAGGCAGGGACAGCAATCTTATCCTCGCGTGCTTCGGCAGCGGTCCAGCAGGCGATGAAAGGTACCTCCAGAGCTTCGCCAAGAATGTGATCATGGCACTCCCATCAGAAGAAGGCGCGCAAGAAACTTCTTGCTTCTGAAGAATCCCCCTATTTTTTCAACTTTGTCACTCCTCGTGGTCCTGTTACCTTCCGTAAGAAACCTCGCTGGCACATCGAAACCAACAAGCAGCGCAGTGTGACCGTCCGTCCTCGCCACGCTTTGGATCCCCTCGTGGAGATGGGCAATCCTTGGACCGTCCGTTCGAGTCCCAAAAGTGGTTTCTCTTTCGCAGAAAACGACACCACAGGAGAGACCCTTGAGCTGTTCCACGCGGCGAAGCCACGGGTCGATTCCGAGAGTCCGAAGGTTACCCCGTTCGTTTGCAACTTCTTGGTCTTCGGAATGAAGGATCCACAGGCACCGCGGGGAATTGTCGACCAGGTTTACACTTAGGTGTTTTTTTGTAGCACGCCGTCCTCGCATGACTCGCAAGCTGAAGAGCCAGGGCATGTGGGCGTAGTCAGTCAGAAGGTTGCCTCCCGTCTGCGCGACGGTGAATTTAGTGATGGACGGGGCTGGCTGCAGGAGATCCGCCACTTCTCGTTCCAGCCTTTCTTGCCATCAGGAGCACGCGCTGTGGCGGCAGGAAATGCGAGAGGGTTGTTCGGGAGTGTCGCCAGCATGAAGCATAGAGCACGTCGGAGGTGGAAGCTTTCCCTGAGCGTGATTTTACGGTATCAGAAAGCATGCTCCTAGGAGTCTCATGGCCACGTCGGGGACCTTATCAGCCTCCAGAAGAGCCCCCTGAACATCGTTTCTTTGTCAACCTGCACCCGCATAATCTATTTAGATATCGGGTTCTGATTCGCTGTTTCACCGACTTTCACCGTATCGTTACTTGTCTGGGCAAAATCTCGCATGTCTTGCGGTGGGTCTCCGGCGGACCCCTGGGGCTGGCGGCCGAGCATTTGCCCCGCGACGACGCGGGCGTCGCGCGCTACCCGCAGCAGTTGATCCGTCTGAAGTCGTCTCTCCCCCCCCTCGATGTCTGTGTCGAACGCCTTGCTCGGCGACTTCGAGTCTGCGCCCAGCGACGAAGGCCGCTTTCAGGCGCAGGGCACTGCCGCTCGAGGGGGCACCGCGCGCGCCCGGGAATTGAGCTCGCTCTTCGGAGATTGAATTGAGCTGCATCAGCCGCAGGGCACTCGGCGGGCTTGCCAGGGGCCTCTCGTGGTCGTCGCGGCTCGGCTGGTCAGGGCGCATGCCAATCTGCACCCTTTGGTCTTAAATGGCTCTGTCATACTTGGATCCTCGACTGGCGTGCCTGCGCATCTCAAGAACCGTCGGATCATGCCCCTCAGGTTGCCACGATCTCGCCTAAACCTCGCCCTGCCCCCCCCCCCCCCTTGCCCGCCTGGATCCCTCGAGCCGCTGAGTGCCAGGGCATCCTGGCAACAATGGCAGAGAATTGCCGTCGCCCCCTGGCTCGGCCGGGGCGCGCCAAGCTGGCCAGCCGCGATGCCCAGATGCCCATGCAGAGCTTCAGAAGGTCACTCCCTGGCGAGAGGCCTCATCTACGCACGAACGTCTGCAACGGAGTTCCTCGGCCTTGAGAGGGCAATGTTGGCCCATCCTCGCGCTACCTTGTGATCCGCGCTCTCCCTCCGCGCTCGCGCTGCTCTCTCTCGACTTTTTCGGCGATGTCGACGCCGGCGCCCCCCCCTGGCCCCGCCGCCCATTTCCCCGCGTTGCTTTCCTCGACAACTCTTCATTGGGCGATGGGGGAAGTCGCTTGGGATGGGGCGGCCGACCTGCCCGAGCATGACGAGCAGAGAAGGCGCGCGCGCAGCGCAATCGCGAGCGGTGGCGCACGCTAAACAGGGCGATTCGGCTTGGCAACATTCTTCATGAGAGCACAGGTGTAACTCGCATGTCGCTGCAGCGCGCTGGGTGGGAGCTTGCTCGGCATTTTGGGGTTCTGCGCGCGCTGAGGTCGAGCCCGATCGCTCGCTTTGGTCCAACCTGCAATCGTTTGCCCAGCAAGCTTCGGACGTTTTTCCGGATTTGGAGTACGTCCTGGCGCTTGGTCGACGCTCAATCTTGGACAGTCAGGCGGGCGGAGTCTCTGGGCGATCGATTGCGGATAACATCATCGAATGCGAGCGCGATGGGGTCTTGGCGGCAATCGAAGGGCGCGACGCGTCAGTTCAGCTCTTCATGGATTTCAAAACAGCTCCCCCGAGACTGATCATCGCTTGCCTTCTTCTTCCGCAGTGGGTCGCTAAGTTTTTCTCGACCTCCACGATGGTAGCGTGGCGATTGTCCACTTCGGTGGATTGGCGTCGGCCTTGTTTTCGCTTGGGCGGGGTTTTCGCTAGGGGTGCCCTGCATCCACGTTGCTGTTTTCGCTGTCTCTGCGCCGGTCTGTAGATTGCTACGCGCCTCTGGTCTCAGAGAGTTCAGGCTCTAGTTCTGGTTGGTCATTTTTGTTTCACCGACGGGGCTCCGCTGTTCGACGAGCTTCGAGTGGTCGGCGGCTGCGGGGCTTGAATAGCATTGGGGGAACGTATTTTCTTGGTCTGATGTCCGACTCAGGCGCGCCAGTTCACGGCCCGCCTAATCACGCGCGAGAATTGTCGCGCGTTGTTTCGGCGGTGACACGGTGCCATTATCTTTGAACAAGCGCGGGTGCCGAAGCGCATCTGAATCCGTTCCCTGCCCTGGCTGACAAGTTCTTTCGTTTGGCATGCAAGATTTAACGCGCGGGGGCTGGGCTGGCCGAGTCCACCGCGGCGCGCGACGCCCGGGCGGTCTCGGCGTTGGGCCCAGTCTCGTCGCCCCACCCCTCGCGCGCTGCCGCTCGAGGACAGAGTCCTTTAGATTCTGCATTCAGGAACCAGATTCAGGTTCGTGGGATGCATGGTGAGGACGCTCAAGGCTGGGCGCAATGCTCAGTGCATTTCGGTATCGCATTGGGCTGGGGCCGCAGCGTGCAGAGCCGTTCAGGACTCGAAAGCATGGGGGCGTTTTCTGGGGAACCTCGAAACCGCTCTGAACGAATGTACCCCATCCCCATGGGGTTGCAGAGAGGATGGCATGCATATTCGCTCTTGTCCTACATGTTGGATAATTACTTTCAGTCTCTACCCGGGGCTTGTCTGATTCACTTGGCGGCCCCGTTTCTGGCGCCCCAAGCGAAGCTCGCGACTGTCCTGGGAAGTGACGCGGGTTCCGCGCGCACCAATGCCGAGATCGAGCGACGAGTTCTGAGGAGGGCGATTCTCCGTCTCCCTGCTCATGCGCGGTTCTCCGTGCTAGTTGCGAGGCTTCGTTCAGTCTGTAGTTCGTTCTCTGTGTTTTGAGCGGTTGCCGTTCGTAGAACCCCATGTCGGGGACTGGACCTCCACTGGGGCCCGCGCTCGCCCGAAGCCCTGTCTCTTCGGCTACCGGGAAGCCAAAGGCGACCGGCGTCACTACTTACGCTGCCCGAGAGCTTCAGCTCCATTCTCTTCCCGCTCGGTTTTGCCGGCCCGCTCCCGACGCTGTGATGCGTTGATAGTCGGGCCCCCGATCAATCCAGGGATCTTGCGCTGCGCGCGCTGCCTGAGCGTTTTCGCGCACTGTCGCTCGCCGCCGGGAGCCGCCGCCGCGCCTCTGGGGGCCTCTCCTGGACAGATCTTCGAGGGCCGCTATCGGCAGCTTATGCAGCGTCGCCCTTAGATCAGAGTGGCCGTGCAATCGGTCAGGAACTTTAAATTCATATTTTTTGTCTGCCCGTGCAGTGGTCGGGACATGTACTGGCCGCGTCTCTCGTCGCTCCCCTGTTCTTGCCGCCGCCCCCCCGCCGCGCCGCCGCCGCTGCCGCGGCCGCTGCTTCGGTTGCCGCCCCCTCTGCTTCCGCCTCTTGTCCCCGCCCTTTCTCCGAACGCGGCGGCGCCCGGGTCCGCCCTGCCGCCCTGCCCTCTTTCGCCTCTCTCGCGCCTTTTTGCTCGTTCCGCGAAGGATCTGCATATTCGAGCAGTGGGCTTGTAGAGGCGCGCGAAGCAGCACGGGAACGCGCAATAGTTGGCTTTTAGACGCAACGGCGCGTGCGTCTCAGCGCCATAGAAGCACTGCGACCTTGCACAAACATACCCATCCTGATTGCCGCAGCGCGCGGGCGATACTCACACAAAAAGGCCTGCAAGGTCCGCGACATGTTCTGCATCATCTGCTGCTGTTTCACCGAAAGGAAGCCGACATCATCCAAGAAGGCCAGCTAACAGTAAGGCGGGCCAGCGCGCTCCCAACAACGAGTGCCCGAGATGCCTGCAACACCGCCGTAACACGCAACGCTGGTTAGCTTGATTGTGTGTTCCCTTGTCGCATGCACAAGTCATATGGGTGAACGTATGTACGCACATATGTTATATGAAACACCCGCGTTTGTATATATGACTGTAGTTCTATCTGCCGAAATCGGCCCCTGAGATCCCGTGGTTGGATAGTGATATCGATATTGAAAGTACTAGTGATATCGGTTGTGAATTCGCTTGTGAGATCGATAATGAATTCGACCGTGATATTGGTAATGAGATTGTCTGCGATATCGATAGTGGGATCGATCCTGTTATCGACATATCGGTCGATGGTAAACGCCGACAGTGGGACCGATCGCCATGCCTTCTGAGCGAAACCGATGGTGATATTCAACATGAAATTCATCGTGCGATCTATGAATGCAGCGGTTTTGATTCCGACAGTGTGATCGATAGCGAGGTCGATAGTGGGATCGATCGAATGGCCGCGACTAAGGTCGATAGTGGGACGGGTGGTGCGGTCGATTGAGTGGGATCTATGGTGAGGTTGATAGTGGGGGCGATTGTGAGACCGATATTGAGGTCGATCGTCTGGGATCCATGGTGTGACCGGTAGTGAGCTTTAATCTGACATCGCTTGTGAGATCGATTCGACATTGAAATCGGTAATGTGTTTTCGATGTCGATAACGGTACGGATATGGACCGGGAATTCGAAAGCGAGACCGATATTACGGTCGATCGAGTAAGATTTATGTTCTGATCGATCGTGGTACCGATAGTGAGTTCGATATCAATATCGACCGTCGCATCGACAGCGATATCGTTTGATCGGAATGGATAATGATATCGATCATGAGATCGATCGCGAATTCGATAGCAAGTTCGATAGAGGGATCGATATTGATATTGATTTGGTAAGATGGATAGTGACATCGATCAGTATATCGGTAGTGAGTTCATTTTTGAGATCGATGATGAGATCGATTAGGCTGTCGGCTGGAAATCCAGGAATCTGGAAACCCCGTCGCCCACCGAAATCGACCCAGAACCAGCAACCAGGAACACGGGAACCCAGCCACCCGCCGAAATCAGGCCCCTATCGTCGCCAAATGTTTCAATTTCCGCTAGGACCCATTTAGTGGAAGCATTGATTGGGGAATGAAGGTGGTTTGTGCATGTGACATGCGTTGTCAGTCAACACCAACATCTAAGATGTAGTATTTCATCAATTCGTCCCGTGCTTCCTTGATTATGTGGCCCGTTGATCCATCCTAATCCAATGTATGATTTTCAAGCTTGCTGTTACAATGTGGACATCAAGGGGTGTTGCGTCTTGACTTTGTCATCCTGTGGTTTGTTTCGAGTGCAGTCTGAAACTGTCGGTCGTCCCTGGCTGGATGGCATCGTGCCGCTGACCCCACGTGTACCTGCATCGGGCCCCGCGTGCGAGTCCCACGCTGGCAAACCCGCGAGTTTCATATCTCGAGTTGTTTCCACAGCAGTCTCTGAGTGGGAGCGTGCGCGCGTGGTGGGGCGAGGGGGAAAATCGGCGGCGAGCGAGGGGGTGAAGGGAGAACGAGAAGGTCTGCGCAGAAGTCGGCGGGACTTCTCAGAAGCCCCCCAGCCTTCTGAGAGCATTTCAGTGTCTTCGGGAAAAACTCAGAACATTCTCAGAAGGCTGGGGAACTTCCGAGCTATTTGAGAAGGCCTTCTCCTTCTCACTTCCCCCTTGGGCTCGCCGCCGAGAAAAGGAGGAAGAGAAAAAGGTGGGTGGATGATGAGAAGGACGCTGTACCGGGCAACACGTTATGCTCAAGGCGTTGATGCGCTGCGCTCGCGGGGGGCCAGTGCGGCAGCCACGCGCATGTCGGTCGCTGGCTCAGCGGCGATTTTGCGCCACAGGCTGGTACTTGTTTCACGTGCATGTCGAACGCGACATAAAGTGGAACCCCGTTCCAAGACACACCCTGCTTGCCTTCAGGGTGCCCTGGGTTTCGTCGGCTTCGATGGTCTTGCTATGGAAATCGTGACGTTCCCACACCAATCATCAATGGACGTCCTGGGGTCTCACGGTTGGGTTTCTTGTGGAAGGTTTCTTTGAGTCGAACTGCTCTTGTATAGCCAGCGGGAAGAAGATGGGGAGTCGCACGTTGCGGATCCATGCAGTCGGAATCTGATTAGCACAGTTTTGACGCGCATCGAGAAAACGAGTGCTTTTCGTCAAGGTACATTGGGAATCATCGCTCCGTACGCTGCGCGGTGCCTTCCGCGGCCGTTGAAGGAGTTACGGCGTTCAGGGTGCTTTGGGTCCCCCCCCTCTTGCAACTTGCGTTTGCGGGTTTGCAGGGCGGGGCTTCTTGCAAGGCTTTCTTGCGGCCGCGTCCGCATTGCAGGGGCGACCCTGCGAAACCAAGAGTAACTGTATACCCTTGGCAGAGCCAAGGCTGCTCCTCAAATACCCGTCCTCCTCCTCCTCCTCCTCCTCCTCCTCGTCCTCCTCCTCCTCCTCCTCCTCCTCCTCCTCCTCCTCCTCCTCCTCCTCCTCCTCCTCCTCCTCTCAAGCACAGGTGGGCGGAGCGCGTAGTGCCATCTTTTGGCTCTCACTCGCTCGCGCTAGCCTAGCTTCCCGCCTCCTCGTCGGCGCTTGGGGGACACCAGGGCGTCTGGACATTGTTGGGAGTCTTTTGCTCGCAACGGCATCGTTCAGCCCCTCCTGGTGACGAAGGGAAGCGATTTCGTGTTTCAACATTTTCCCGAACATCTTCCTCGGCATCCCGTCCGCACCGAGGGGCACGGGGGCTTCGAGCCCATCTAAGTCCCACTCGGGCGGCGGAGCGCGGCGGTGTTCGTCGTGGTGCTCTCCTTGGACCTCTTCATCGGCATCCCGTCCGCAACCGGGGGGCACGGGGGCTTCGAGCCCATCTAAGACCCACTCGGGCGGCGGCTTTTTCGCTGGGGCGTGGTTCTGGGAGCTATTTCAATTCAATGTTTGTTTTGTGGGTGCAGTGTTCTCGGCTGGAAGGAATGAACACGTCGGCTGGTTATTCTCGGTTGCGTTACTGTTTTGCGAGGCTGTCTGTGGACGAGGCGATCTTTATGATATACGTGCGAGGTTGCCCGATTATCTACGGTAGGGCCGAATCGAGCCGAGTTCATTTCAGCTTAGCTTATCACGTTTCGTTTGTCGAGGGCGCCAGTCAGTTCGGAGGGATTCGCCATGGTATGTTATCATGAACTTCGGTGTCGCGTTCTACTTGTACCTCTCGCTGGGTTCCTCCTTCTGGTTCGTCTCGTTGGCGGGTGAGCTCAGGGGGCGGCCTTAGCACGTAGCTTTGATTTCACTCTTGTGAAGGCGGTAATCCTGGTAATCCTCCTCCTCCTCCTCATCCTTTTCCTCCTCCTCCTGCTCCTGCTCCTCCTCCTCCTCCTCCTTCTCCTCCTCTTCCTCCTCCTCTCTCTTTCTCTCTCTCTCTCTCTCTCTCTCTCTCTCTCTCTCTCTCTCTCTCTCTCTCTCTCTCTCTCTCTCCTCTCCTCCTCTCCTCCTCCTCCTCCTCTCCTCCTCCTCTCTCCTCCTTTTCCTCCTCCTCCCCCTCCTCTTCCCCCCTCCTGCTCCTCCTCCTCCTCTGCCTCCTCCTCATCCTCCTGTTCCTCCTCGTGCTCCTTCTTCTCCTGCTCCCCCTCCTCCTTCTCCTCCTCCTCCTCCTCGTGCTCCTGCTGCTCCTCATCCTCCCTCCTCCTCCTCCTCCTCTCCCCCTCCTCCTCCCCCTCCCCCTCCTCCTCCTCCTCCTCCTCCCCCTCCTCCTCCTCCTTCTCCTCCCCCTCCGTTTCCTCCTAGCCCTTCTGCGCCAAGTTGCGTTGCAGGGGCGTTCTTCAGAAGGGCACGCGTTCCTCCGAACCAAGTGATGTGACAGGATACCTTCCCCACTCAGGACTGCCGCGCTGCCATTTCGCCACCGGCTGCGATCCAGCGCGGGCGGGGCAGCTGGCCGTGGCGGGAACAGACGAACATCGACGGCTGGGCTGAGTGGGACGATTTCAGTCGAAGTTCCACGTGGACATGCAGTTCATGTAGATGCAAGAAGAACAAGCAGGGCTGGGCGCAGTGCAAAAATTGCTGGGCCTGGCGCGCCGCCCCTCGCCCGGGGCAGCACGCGCCCCAGCCTTTAGGCGTATGGGCGGGCAGCGCCCCGCCTGGCACATGGAGTGCGCGGCCCCCTGTTCCTGCTGATGGCCTTCCTCATCGCCCTGGCCTTCTCTTCTGGTCTGGAGGCGGCGGCGCCCAGCGCGAGGCGACCAGCCAGCCCTCCGACATCGACCAGCTGCGCGGGCTCGTGGACGGCCTGCGCCGCATGGGTGACCCCGAGGCCGCAGAGAAATGGCAGCGGGAGCTCGACGCCCGCCTTCGCCGCCAAGCCGAGGAGGCCAAGGTCCAGGTCCCGCTGGAGCACCAGGTCAACCGCGCCTTCAGCGAGATGCGCACGTTGGAGTCGAAGCTCGGGAAGAGCCTCAACGTGTTCGAGCGTCTGGAGAGCGAGCTGGACGAACATCGGGGCCGAGTTCGTTCGTTGCGAGAGGAGCTGCAGGTGGCCGAGGAGAAGCACAAGTCACTCGTCAGCCAATTGCAGGCTTCGTCTGGAGTTCCACGTGAGCCTGCTCCTGCGCCGAAGCTCAGTATCGATGATCTGCTCAAAGGAGAGTCGCTTCCTATCTGTGTTGGACAGCTTGCTCACCGCCGAGTCAGAGTACGAGTTTTCGGAGGGGGACAGGCAGGAGGCGAACAAAAGATTGGAACAGTTACAAGAAGGTATCCAGGCTGCGGTGCAACAGCTCTTCGGCGAGGCGGCGGCCAAGTCGAAGGCGTTCAAGGACGCGCAGGCTGAGCAGCTCAAGCGTCTACAGGCCAAGCGTCGTCGCAGCGATGGACAAGATGGACAACCCGCCGAAGGCGCTGCAGTCTCAGGTGGTGGCGCTGCCAGCGCAGGAGGCAGAGCTGCCCCAGCCCCTGGCCCCGTCGGCGCCGCCAGTGGGAGCGTGGGCGGGCGGGGAACCCGCGCCCGAGGCGGCGCCCGCAGGGCATGGTAGCCAAGCGCCGCCTGCTGCCGCACCTGCTGATGTACGCTCTCGCGCGGGCAGAGTGCTGCACGGCGACCCCCCCCCCCCCCCCCCCCCCGCAAGTTCCGCTTGAGGGGGGGGGGGGGGGGGGGGGGGGGTATCGGGCGACTACGGCCTCTCGCGGGAGGCGCAGCAGTACTTGTCCTGAGCTCTGAGCCGCGAGCAGGCATTGTGCAGTTCAATGTTCTGCAGACCTCCCCTCCACCGTTTGCTGCTGTTCCGTTCGAGAACCTTGGTAAGAACGCGGGGGGCGTCGCGTCGACGACCCCCAAAACTTTTTATTCGGCTCGCCTTGCGTGGTTCTCCCAGGCTGACGCCGCCGCCGACGGTTCTCGTTCTGGTACTCGCCCCTCTCTCTTGAAGGCTGTAGGTCACACGTTGGCTAGGGCCAAGTCGGCCCTCGAGCGTGGCGACCCACGCCCGACTCCTAAGTTTTTGGAGCGCCGTGGGCCGCCCATGCCTGGCGTTTCGCCCAGGCCCTACGATCAGCTGCTGCGGCCTCTGGAGGCCGAGGCGTTCCCTCTGGACCAGCTCACTCCAGCGTTCGAAACGCGCAATGTCTCGGGCTGGGGATCTGGACAGTTGTGGTTACAGAATACCTGTGCTGATGTGGTGATCATGCAGGAGCATAAGCAGATGCCTCATCAATAGGCGTCGGCTTCGTCGTGGGCGAGACGCCACGGCTGGAAGAGTCTGCGGGTGGCGGCGGTGGCTGGCGATGGAGGAGGTCCCTCCGCAGGCGTGGCGCCGTTCGTGAGAGAGGCTTTGGGCTTGGCTGCGCCGCCATCTGGCCATCAGATTTCTGCGGGGAGGGCCCTCTTGGGCATCGTGGACATTCCAGGGCAGGCGCAGCTCGCCATCTTGTCGGCTTATTTCCACGACTGCCAGGACCTGTCGGATGAAAATATTGACCTGTTGTGTTCGCGCCTCTCCTTGGGTCAGGCCCTGGGGTGCCCGTTTTGTCTTGGGGCGGATTTCAATGTGGAGCCGACGGCGCTCCTCTCGGGCGGCCTGGGATCCAGGGCGGAGGAAATCCAGTTTTTTTATTCTTGATGGGCGCGCCTGCGAGTCTACGGCAGGACTCAAGCAGTGCGACTTGTTTATCGCCTCGGCCGACGTGGCCAAGGCTGTTTGCCAAGTTAAGGTCATTCGGGGAAGTAGCCTCACTCCCCATTCCCCCTTGCAGGTCGTCTTGCATCCCAGGCCCGGCCGTCTCCAGGCCCTCGCCTTTCGGCGCCCCCCGCCGCTCCCCGCGGCCCCCCCCGGCCCCCGCCCAGGTGTTTGAGGCGGCGCCCCGCCCCTAAGGGCCCATGAAGTGTTGGAGTCGGCTAGAGCTGCCGTTGGGCAGGGCGATTGGGCTAGGGCCCAGGACGCCCTTGATCGCGCTCATCGGTTTTGGGCGAATGCTGCCGAGCGGGAGGCGCCCGCTGCCGCGGGCAAGGTCTTGCCCGCGTGGGGCGCGAGGGGCAAGCCCCCAGATGTGTTGGAGGCGTATTTTGAACAAGAAGAGCGCTCAGGGGAGCTCCGAACTGTTTGCGTGTCGTTGGTTGGCCAACATGTTCTGTAATTTCGAAGGCTTCTGGTCGAGTGGCAGCCAGGCGGGCATCAACTCCGCGCTTGCTGTTTTGGAGTCGCCGCCTCAGTGTGCGCGGCACCGAGGCTCGGCTGGTGGTTTCTTATGTACACTGCGCGATTTTGTCTGCGAGCTGCCGATGTGCGAGGCCAAGGAAGGGCCGTCGTTCGACTCTTTCGCTCACTTGGTGGGCGCCTTCCAGACGGCGCTGGCTGAGGTCGAGGTGTCGGCCAGGAAACATGCCAGCAAGGAGTGGAGAGAGGGGATTCTTTTCAAAGCGGATCGGGGGGGCCGTCGCGCGCACGCGGCCTCTTAAGGGGGGCGCCCCTTGGACCCCCGCCACCGCCCTGTCCCTGGATGGAGTGGTGGTGGCTGACCCTCTCTCCCTTCTCAAGGCGGAGCCCTCCAAGTTTTCGAAACTTTGGGGTGACGGGGCCGCGGGTTGTTGGTTTGAAGTTGGCGAGTTAGCCCCCCCTCTGGAGCCCGTGCCCGTGGAAGCCATTCGTGAGTTCTCGCGGAAGTTTAAGGAAAACACCCCGGTCAGTGTGGATGGATGGCTTCCACATGAAGCAGTTCGCCCTCATGAGCGATGTTGCTGCTCATGGTTGCCGATATGTTCGCCTTCATGGAATGCATTGCTCTGATTTTTGTCCAGATCTCCGCCACCCTCCTCGCCCTCATCCCCAAGGTGAGTGCGGGATTTCGGCCGATCGGGAATTTCTGTGCCTTGCACCGCGCCCGCGGCAAGGTGCGTCGTCCGCAGACCCAAGAGTGGGAACTCACCCACGCCAGGGGGCATTTCGCGGCGGGGCCCTTCGAGCGGGCTCAGGGCGTGGTCTGGAGACAGGCGGCGCGGGCTGAGGCTTCCACTTTGACCAAGGAAGAAGCGGCCACGGTGCTGCTTGCTTTATACAAGTATTACGAGACTATCAACCTCAAGATGTTGTTGTTTCGTGTTCGGCAGATGTGTTCCCCCTGGCCATCGCTTGGCTGACGATCGCCATGTACCCCCAGGCTCGGTTTTTGTGCTCGACGGGTTTGTTGATGGGCCCTTGTGGGCCAGGGGGGCATCGTCGCTGGATGCACGTTCGCCACCAGTTTTATCAGCGTTTATGCCATCCAGGAGTTGGACAAGTTGGAAATCCCCCCCCTGGTCCATTTTAAATTGCACATCGACGATTCAGGTGTCAGCGCGACTGGCACTAAGGAGCACATCGTCGCCAGCCTGCCGCCCGTCGCTCGCCAGTCGTACTCGGTCTTGGAGGACGGGGTGGGGGCCAAAGTTAGTCAAGACGAGGGGAAACGGTCGCTGATCCTCCTCCGAGGCGCTTGGACGGGAGCTGGATGCCAAGCTTGGAGGGCTGGCAGGGCCGCTGGTTTCTTCGGCGCCTAATCTAGGAGTTGATGATTGTGCTGGGCTACCTCGTAGAGTCAAGGGGGGGAGTTGCAAACGCAACAAACGGGAGCGGAAGACTGTCGGTTTTGTTCTTCGACTGGCCCGCTGGAGGCCCACTGTGGGGGGCCGCGTGGCCCGAAACGTCTTCGCCTCTGGGGCGCTTGCTTCTGAGCTGTTTGGGTCCGAGGTCCACGGTGTCAGCGGTTTCGAGCTGCTGACTTATCGGCGCCAGGCGGGAAAAGTTCTGCAGCCGTCGGCCAAGGGCCGTTCTTTGACGGCCCTGCTGCTTGCGCACGGTGAGCCGCGCTGGCATGCCAGCGTTGCCCCCATCATTCGGTGGTCTAAGGAGATCTGGTGGGCACGTCATCGTCTGTATAGTCACACGTTGCCTCTGGCCGAGCTTAGAGCGGCGTGGTAAGCTGGACTCGAGGGCGAATCCCCGCTGTGGCGAAGCGTGTCGGGCCTTATTTCCGCCGTTCGGAAATCATTGGAACGCTTTCCCTGGGCCATGCCTGCGTCCGTGGTCCTGGTTACCGACTTGGGGGGGGAGCTTGCGCTTACCGGGTTTTCGCCCAAATTGGTTCGGTCGCTCTTGCGGAAGGCTGTTTTGAGGGGGCTTGAGTGGGACCTGGGGGCCAGGCTCGATTTGAAGGGCAGGGCCTGTGTCGATCCTGTCCTCGGTTACCTCAAAAGCGCCAAGTACACCCCGTACCAGAAAGGTTGCCTTCGCTCTCTTTTTTGCCAGGCGATTTATACCCGCCAGCGTGCCGCCAGCTTAGGCTACGTGCTGCCCACGACGGTCTGCCCGCTGCGTGAGGAAGGCTTAGATGCCCTTAGACGCCGCCTCTGGGAGTGCCGTAGCCCCGAGGTGGTCGAGCTTAGGGAAATGCTTGTGAAGCAAGATGTGCAAGAATGGGCCGCTAAGGCCGACGACAATCTGGCCTGCTACGGCGTCTTCCCCCACCCCTTCCGACTTCCCGCAGCCTTGCACGCCAGGGGGCATCGAGGTGGTTTGGACGGAGGAGGGGGGTGACATCCAGGAGTGGTTCGAGGGCGGCTTTCGTCGATGGCTCGTGTACTAGACACCTCGTGGGGGACCTCAACAGAGCGGGGTGGTCTATCGTGGTCGTCTCGAAGGAAACTGGAAATTCTGTTGTGCGAGTTAAAGGTCCAGTGTGGGCGCCCTGCCCCCAGACTCCGCAGGCTGCCGAATATCATGCTATGTCTGTTGCTGTTCAGTGGGCGACAGGCCCATCTACAAATTACTCGGACTGCCAAGGGCGTGTAGACTTCTCTCGCTTGCCTTGGCCCGAGATGGCTTCTTCCAAGCGCATGTATAGCGGCATGGCCCAGCATTTGCGAGATCCCTGGTCGAATGTGCAGCTAGAGAAGGTCAAAGCCCATTCGGACGTCCAGGCTGCCGCCGACGACCGCGATCGTTTTTTTTGCGGCAAGGCAACGATTGGGCTGACAAGACGGCCAAGGAAGCGGCATTTTTGCATCCTCTGTCGTCGGGGTCTGTGCTCGAGGGTCTTGATCGTGACATTGCTGTTGCCAGAGCCGTGGGCCGCCTCGGAGCGAAACTCCTCGTTTTATGGCCGAGACTCTCTTTGGGCCCTCATGCCCAGTATGTTCCCCCACCCCCTTGCTGAGCGTCGGCAGGGAGAGGACAAGAAGGTCCATCAGTGGAACTGGGTGGGCAGCTATTGGCAGTGCGCAGAATGTTTGCGAGGCAAACGTGGTCGCCCTCCTGTTGAGCCTCCACTTGGGAGGTGCGATGCTGTGCTGAAGGTTTCTCCGTCCAGGCTTCGCGAGCTTGGTCATTTTTGTGTGTTGCCCGACTGCTCGGATGGCTTTTTTTTTGTGCATTTGCCACAGGTGCGGTTATATGACGTCGGGAGGCCAGCTTCGGAATCTCGACAAGAAGTGTGAGCCGCACAAGGTGGCCACACACGGCAATCCGTGGATTAAGTTGAAGGAGGGGCTCCATCCTAAAAAGAATGGGGTTGCCGTCGACTTAACGACGTTTTGTCATTTTTGAGGTGGGAGCCCTTGTCTGCACAGCGCAGGGCACACCTCCCTGGTCCGTCCTTCTCTCTGGACACGGACCAGTCAGATTCCCCCCAGGGCCTCGCCCACCCTGGAGAGGTGTACGTGGGCCGCATCGCGGCGCTTGCAAAACAACCTCCTTCTCCTCCTCCTCCTCCTCCTTTTCCTGCTCCTCTTCCCCCTCCTCCTCCTCCTCCTCCTCCTCCTCCTCCTCCCCCTCTTCCTGTTCCTCCTCCTCCTCTTCCTGCTCCTCCTCCTCCTCCTCCTCCGCCTCCTCCTCCTCCTCCTCCTCCGCCTCCTCCTTTCCTCCTCCTCCTCCTCCTCCTCCTCCTCCTCCTCTCCTCCTCCTCCTCCTCCTCATCCTCTTCCCCCCTCCTCCTCCTCCTCCTCCTCCTCCTCCTCCTCCTCCTCCTCCTCCTCCTCCTCCTTTCCTCCTCCTCCTCCTCCTCCTCCTCCTCCTCCTCCTCCTCCTGCTCCTCCTCCTCCTCCTCCTCCTCTCTCCTCCTCCTCCTCCTCCTCCTCCTCCTCCTCCTGCTCCTCCTCCTCCTCCTCCTCCTCCTCCTCCTCTGCGCCTGGCGCCGCGCGGGGCGCGAAGATGGGCGCGAGTGTCATCCCGCTGTGCGCCTGCAGGCAAGTAAACCTTAGCTCGTGTAGTTTTGGTGCTGTGCACTTTCCCTTCGGGCCCTTCCATGCCATTCCCTCCATTTCCCCCTTTCCCCAGCCCCTCCCCATCCCCGCCCCCTCCTCCGCTCCAGGCCGCCCCCTCGCCTCCCCGAGTCCTCCCTCTCGCCCTTCCCTCGCCACTCTGCCGGGTTTTGCGCCCGAGTCGGGACGCTTGTTGACAGCCCTTTTGCGTCTGTTTTCCTGGTCGCTCGCTTGTGGCCGCCTGTCGCCGCCGTCCGTCGCGGCTGCTATTGGGCCTCATAGATTGCACCACGTAGCCAACACCACATTGATTTCTCCACATGGATTGCACCACATGTCTGGTTCCACATAGCTTACACAGCATAGATGACACCACATACGCATGCTGGTCCACATAGATTGCTCAGCATAGCTTTCACCTCATAGATTGCACCACGTACATTGCACGTGGACTGCAAGAAAAACATTGGTTTGGGCCCACACTGTCTAAGATTGGTTCCTTGTGTTTGTTTTGTCATCCTACTGAGGGCGTGCCCAGATGATCCTAGGCAGAGTCCAAAACAGTGCCCCCTCTCCCCGACCTCTCTGCTGCCCCCCTCTGCCCTCCTCCGCCTGCATCTCCCCTCTCCGCCGTCTTCGTCCTCCTTCTCGACCCTTCACTCCTCTCCCTCCCCTATCAGCGCCCGGTGTGGTGCCGAGGCCGGCTGTGGGCCCGTCTCGGCGATGCAGCAGCCAGCGCCCCCGTGGCAGGCCGGCCTCTCGGGGGGCCCGCACGCGCGAGTCGGCCCACAGCAGCGGCTCGGAGCGGACGCAAGCGGGGGTCAAGCAGTGGCGAAGCGTCCCGGCTCGCCTATAGGCCTACCAGAGAATGTTCAAAGATCCTTTTGTGGGTTGCACGAAATGTTCGTAGAACATTTCTGGTTGAGACTGTCCTGTTCTAACACATGGGGTTAATGTTCTAAGAACATTATTCTTGTTGTTAGGGCATTTTTGGGTTCTAAGAACATTTCGTGGTAGGCCTATAGGAATGCCGGGACGGTCGGTCCCTGCTCAAGGAGGGGGGCGCGCGAGTGAGGGCGCGCGGGGAGGTGCGAAAGGGACGGAGCGCAGCGGGGCGCCGTCGGGGTGGGAGCGCGGCGGCAAAGGCAGGAGCCAGGAAGGCCCTGGGGGGGTGGCCACGAGTCGTGCGAGGTGGTGCCCCGCGGTGGCAGCGCGCGGACCGTCCGCGTGCGCACCCCCACTGGGGCCGCCGTCACCGGGAAAGGGGAGGGGACGAACCCTGCTGCGAGCAGCGCGTTTGGGCTCTGGCGCCAGGTCCTCTCCTGGGTCCCTTTGCGCCTCCAGCGCCCGGAGGCGCCAGAGAGATCGGCTGCACGAGCTGATTTCTCTGCAGTCAAGTCCAGCCTGTGGAGGCACCTCGCTTCGCAGGCGGAGACGGAGGGCGTGGGACTTTACGGCAACAGAGCGCGAATGCAAGAGAAACATTGAGGATAGGGCAAGATTGAAACACGTAAATTATACATCAGTTATTTCGCCTGAAAGTAAGACATGAATTGTCCAACCGCTGCCAAGGGAAACATTCCCAGCTGCGGATGGCTCTCGTGAGGCTCGTGCCGCGATCTTGTCGCAAGAAAGGATCGACGGCATCTCTCCATCTGCGCTGTGGTCTACCTCGGCGTCGGACTCCGGCCAGGATCCTACGCAGAATCTGCAGGCCTAAAGGTTGACACCAACAGGAATATCGGCGGCGTGCCTCCACCGAGGGAAGAAGATTCCGATTCCGGTGGTGGTTGTAATATTCTGGCTTCCAAGGTGACCGACAGATTGCCACCAACACCGAAATCGAGGATCAGGTTCCCCATGTGGAGGCAACCCCCTGTGTTGGTGTTGGTGCCAATTTCCGTGCGAGTCTCGTGTGAGAGTTCGTGCCACGAGGCACCACGTGCAGCGATCCAACACGATAAGCCAACATGGCACAGGGAAGATGTTCAAATCAACGCGCACTGTTTGCTTGCACCGCCGCCCAGCTTTTTCCCAGCTTTCGCGGAAAAATTTGCTGAAGCCAACGATTTGGCGGAGCATTTGTGAACGAGTTGATGCAGTAGGTGACCGCTGCTGTGCTGTAGCGACCGCTGCTGTGCTGTGCTGTGATGTCCAATCAGTGGAGACGCTAAGGACAACTTTAGGCTCAGAAGGGCCCAGGCGTTCGGGCCATTCCTTGGGTGTACAACTTGGACCCCTGCTTGTGGCCCAGGCCCGCTGTGGCCAGAACAGTCCTTTCGTCCCATGTGAACCTCATGAAGCAGTTGAGGAGCCATCTTTCCGGAGACACGATCAAGCATTCAGCACCCGGGAACGTTATCTTGGCACCCTGAGGAGGAGGAGGAGGAGGAGGAGGAGGAGGAGGAGGAGGAGGAGATGGAGGAGGAGGAGGAGGAGGACCAGTGTAAACCCAAGAGTCAGCAACGATGTTAGAATGCCTGCTGTGCGGAGCGCGAGGCACCCTGCTGCACAGGCACTGCGACTGCCCCAGCTGGCGTAGCGTGCTGGCGCTCCCCGAGGAGCTTGGGGAGCTCAGGAGGCGATGCCACCAGCCTGACGCAGTTGCTGCTCGAGAGGTGCCTGTGGCCCTCCGCCAGCCTGCGCAGGCCGCAGGCTAGTGACCTCGTGTGCTGGAGAGGCGACCACGCAGGTGGGGTGCTGCCTGAGGGGGAGCTATTCCTGGACGGCTCCGCGTTCGAGTCGGACTTCGACGGCTACACCTCGGTGGGCTGGAGCGATGTCGCCCGCCAGCAGGACGCCGACTGCCACTGCACCTCCGTCGCTGGCCAGCTGGAGGGGCGCTGCGTCGACGTCAACGGGGGCGAGCTGATGGCGGTGATCATGGCGCTGCAGTTTGGGGTTGGGGACACCACCCTGGTCGTGGACGGCTTCAACAAGGCTGGGCGCGAGGTCACCACCTCGTACGCGTACTCTTGGGCGCACCTGTGGCGGAGGGCGTGGTTCCTCATGGACGAGCGGGGCGGGCTTGGCCTGGCGGTGCTGGCGCGTTGGGTCCCCGCTCACCGCACGAGGAGGCAGGTCACCGACGGCATCATCACCTACCGCGACTGGGTGGGCAACAAGTACGCGGACCTGGCCGCCAAGGCTGCGGCGTACAAGGGACGAGTGCAGCAGAGGATCGACGCATTCTCGTCTCAGAGCGCAAGCAGGTCGAGCTGGTCGCCATGTGGTGCACGGCTGTGGGCACGTGGCTGGGCGGCCGCGACACCACCCACGGCGAGGAGAGGCAGCAGCGCGCCATGCAGGCTCGGCGGGAGCCCGCCGCGAGGGTGGCCTGCACATGGCGAGGCCGGGCGGGCCAACCCAGGTGGTGCGAGGTGTGCAGGTAAACAGAGCGGGTCGGCGAATGCCCTGGCGACATCATCAACGACGCAAGGCGGGCCAACGAGGTGTTGAGGCAGCAGGGCCTGGCTTCCCACGACCTGGTAGTGATCCGCCCGGCGGACGATGCGCTGCTCGAGCGGCGGCTCCCGCTGGTTGCCTGCGTCCGATGTGGATTTACGGGCGCCGCGCGGGCGAGCAGTTTCAGCCAGGAGTGCAGGTTCCCACCCTCGGACGCTGGCAGCGATGTGATCTACCGCTCGCAGCAGGGGCTCGCGCCGAAGATCGCGGGCGTGGTGGTGGTCACGGCGCAGCGGCTCGACGGCCACTTGTCAGGCTGTGCTGGTGAGGAGGTCGGTGGAGATGGAGGCGACCAGGATGACGACGAACGTGGCGCAGAGGGAGGGAGGGGGGAAGTGCCGCCAGCGCGGCGCCCCCTGGGGCCGTCGCCGCGGCCCGAGGGGCCCGTGGCGATGGCGAGGAGAGTGGGCATGGCTGCCTCTATGTCAAGGAGGCGCCAGGGGGAATGGTGAGGGGCAGGGGGGGTAGAACGTCACCGCCCGCGCCCCCGCGGTCCGCCTTAATTAGCTCGCCACCCCCACCGTCCCCATGGTGGAGGACAAGCTCACCCGTGCGCCAGACTGGAGCAAAGGGCAGAGGTGTGCGCGCCGATGGCCAAGGTGGTGCCAGCCCGAGGGAGGAGGAGAAGATGGGGGAGGTGCCGCCAGCGCGGCGCCCCCAGGGGCCCTTGTTGCCGCGGCCATCGCCGTGGCCTGCGGCGAGGGTGACGACAAAGTCGGAGGTGGCGGCGCGAAGGGGGGAAGCACTGCCAGCGCGGCGCCCCCAGGGGCTGTCGCCGCGGCCGCCGTGGCCTGCGGCGATGGCGACGACAGAGGAGGTGGTGTCTTTACAGCAGTGGTCAACGCCGAGGACGCGGAATGCGCAGCAGCGAGGACGCCTTGGTGAGGTTTGGCGCAAACTTCAGGACGAGTACTGCCCGCGCCTGCCAGGGGGGATGGTGAGGGGCACGGGGGGGTGGAACGGCCACCACCCGCGCCCCCGCGGTCCGCCCTCGCTCGCCACCCCCACCGTCCCCGCGGCGAAGGCGGAGCTCACCCGTACGCCGTCGTGGCGGAGCACAGGGCAGCGGAGGAGCTGGAGGCGGCCTGGCTCGGGCCAGGTCGCTCGGGACAGACGAGAATGGGGGGGGGGGGCGCCAGTGCGGCGCTCCCAGGGGCCCCCACCGCGGCCACCGTGGCCTGCGGCGGGGTCGAGGATTGCGACGACGGCAACGGCGCTTTTCTGGCCGCGCGAGGAGGTCGAGGCGAGGGGGGGGGGGCCGCCAGTGCGGCGCCCCGAGGGGCCACCGCCGCGGCCACCGCGGCCTGCGACGGGGGCGACCAGCTCCCCCCGCGGAGGTCACGCTCCTGCGCGGCGCTCGGAGGTGTCACGCCCCCTCCCCCCGCCCCGCTTGCCGGTTCGCCCGGGGCCGGCGGGCGGGCGCCGCCGCGCCCCTCGCGGCGTGCCCATCCGCCAAGGAGATTTGCGCCCACGCTGCACCATCCCCACGGCGGAGGAGGAGCTTGCACATGCTGCCGCCCGGCGGTGAGCGGAGCCGCAGCGGTGCGAGGGGGGGAAGTGCCGCCAGTGCGGCGCCCCCAGGGGCTGCTGCCGCGGCCACATTGGCCTGCGGCGGCAGCGAGGAGGGCGGCCGCTAGGGCAAGGGCGCTATCGGCAGCAAGGTCGATTCCCTGACCGCTCTCACGACCGATCTCATCATTGATCTCACGATCGGTCTCACCATCGAAGTCACCATCGGACTCACCACAGGACACCGCGGGACACCCGCGGGACACCAACAGGACACCGAGGGGACACCACGGAACACGATTGAGACACCATCGGGGTTCCAATCGATTTCTCTTTTCGATAGCCGTATCGATCTCACCTTCGGTCTTATTATCGATCTTACTCGCTCGATCTCAGTATCGATATCAGTAACGACCTCGCTATCGATCCCACGATCGATACCGACGGGAGAACGACGGGACACCGACGGGACACCAACGGGACACCGACAGGACACCGACGGGACACCAGCGGGACACCGACGAGGATATTGGGGCCACGAACCGTGTGAGGGGTTTGCCGATATGGGCGTCGGGTGCATGTGCACCCTGCCACTGGGGCCCTTGGTGTTGCTCCCTACGGGGCCACGAACTGTGTGAGGGGTGTGCTGGAACGGGCGTCGATGAGTGAAGGAGGGGGGAGGGGGAGCAGGAAGGAGGAGTGAGGAACGCGGGGCGTTGTCTCTTCAACACGAGGACCCAACACCACAGGATGGTTGGGGAAAAAATCCCACGCGAGGCTGGAGGCCAGAGCGGCGGGAGGAGTACTCTGAGTACTTCAATATTCCTGAGCCCCCGGACTACAAGGGCACAAGGGCCTCCCAGACTACAAGGACCCCCCCAGACTGCAAGGGCCCCTCCCCCCTGGACTACAGGGACCCCCCCCCAGACTACAAGGACCCAGCACAAGTGCTACGGGCACAGCCACCACGCCCAACACAAGGATCCCCCCCCAGACTACAGGAACCCCCCCGGACTACAAGGGCCCCCCCCCCGGGCTACAAGGGCAAGGGCCCCTCCCCGGGACTACAGGAGCCCGCACCCCCTCCGGGCTACGGGCCCCCCCCCCCGGACTTCAGGGGCCCTCATGGATTATTGGTCCCCCCAGAACTATTGAGGTGCTCAGAGTACGGCGCGGGACGGGCGGCCAGCAAATCGGCCCTGGCCCAGGCGCCCGGGCACGGCCCCTTCGGGAGCGTGTTGCCGACGATGCTGCCGCAGCCCCAGCAGCAGCAGCAGTGGCGGGGACAGGGCGCAAGGCTAGGTTTGTCGGGGAGGGTGTGTCCTTCCCCTCCCTCCCCCCCCACACCTCCCTTCCTGGTTTTCCTCGTTGTATGCTCCCCTCCTTCTGCTGCGTCCTGCGTCCGCCCTCCCCCCCCTCTCCAAGTCGAATGGTACATGCATATCCCCCCTCAGCGTGCGTGCAGGTAGCAGTACTAGCAAGATCATGCGTGCAGGTAGCGTGCGTGCGTGCAGGTAGCGTGCGTGCAGGTAGCATATCCCCCCTCAGCATGCAGGGCCGCTGCAGTTTAGACTCGAGTCCGCGCAGAGCTAGCCTTTGCCTGAGACTGGAAACTCATTCGATCTATCATCAACGACTTGGTTATCTTCGATCTTATTTTGGTCATATCGTTATCGATACCCCATGAATCCCCCCGTCTTCTGCCGTCCGCCTTTCTCGCTCCAGGAGGCGAAATGCGGCTCGGGAGGTAGATGCGCTCCACCCTCACAAGGAGGTAACGATATTCAACACGAGCGGGAATGCGTTGGCCGGCGGCGCAGTCCGGGGCACATTAGTGAACCCAGGTCCCAAATCCATGGCAACAGGAGCCAGGATAGTTGTAAGTTTCAAGTGTGCCGAATCGCCGTCTGTTCCACATGAGGGATATTGCAGACACAATGCCGAAGCAGCATAGAAGTCGTACTCACCGCATCGACACTATCGCCGCCTACTTGACTGCAGCGATCTGGGGCATTGGCATTGGTGGTAAGTTGCCTGGGTTTCCATGCTCGTTCTCCTTCCCCCCCCCGTCCAGTTGCTTTCTTATGGCATGATTCGATTATACCAGCAGTTTCAGATAGGGTTGCCTTTGCACTTTACACTTCGACGGCCCATTTTGGTATGTTTTCTGAAGGGTCGATCCTCTGCTCGTGAGTTCAGGTTTCACGTTCAAGCAGGCGTGCCCTGCAAAACCACTCGCCAGTCCATCACATTCGTGCACGTTCGTCCGACGCCCAGACGTGTGACTTGTGGCTTGCCAGCACTGTGTTGACACAGCGTCAGAAGGCAGCTCGCCGCTTGAACTCCGCCGCTCCCAAAAGGCGAGCACAGATCACGCGTCGCCCTGTAGAAATTCCCAGGATGTTACGCCGAGCTTTGTACGATCCGTGGGTTAGGCCATCGGTTTCGCACGCAGCTTGCTATTTGTTGTGCCATGGGTTCCGTTGTCGGTTGCCAAAATGAAAGCGCATGCCAGTGATTGCGCCATAGGTTTCCACCCAGCCGAACATAGAACGGCCGGCCATTGGTTGCGGCATCGGCTTCGCCGAAAATACAACGGTTTGTTATGGGTTGCGCCGTTCGTTGCGCTCTCCGTTGCCGAAGTTACAACGGTATGGATTGCGCATTCGGTTGCCGACGCCACAATGGTCCGCCGTTGGTTGTGCCGTGGGTTGCTTGCTCACTCGGCAGCCGAAGATGAAATGGCTTCCGATTGGTATCTCCATGACTACGACCTGCGATTAGCAATTTGTTGCACCATTGGTTGCGCAGTCGGCAGCCGAAAAGAACGTTGTTGTGTCACCAGCGTGACCAGTTTCTCTAAGTCAGTCAATGAGTCAATTCATCATCCGAGTTCGCAACACAAGTCTAGCTTACCGCCTACGCCCGAAGAAATACGCACCGCATTTCAAGGTCCAGGGAAGGACAATGTTCCCCCCTACGGGCTATACACACAAGTATTGTTTGAGTTCGTATGACAAGGGGGTCCATATTCACGGCTCATATTGGATCCACAGGCACAAACCACATAAACGTCGCCGACACATTATCAGAACATTGTTGCGCAACATAAACATGTGTCAACGACAGTAAGGAAGTAAAGCCGGTGACACAGTTGGTGTTTGGTATTCTTAGATGCGTCACCTTATCCCAAGCCCCGACCATCCCGCCCAGAAGCGGGGTGCAGCATGGGCGAGTTGCCTCTTGGGAGCCTTCGGAGCGCAATCGGGGCCGTGCTGGGCCTGTTTGGGCCATGCTGGGGCCCAGACGCTCATCGGAAGCGAACGGGCTCAAGCCAGAGGTGGTTTAGGCACGATTTCCTGGAACGCCTCGTGCATCCAGGCGCTTATTCGGCGCTGCTTTGTTTTTCTCTGTTTCCGCGGCCGCCTCTCTCCCCGCTCATCGGGCCCCCCTGTGCGCAATTCCCTTCGCTGAGGCCCAGCGCTCGCTACGGCCAGCTCGCGCGTTCGCCGAGTCCGCGACAACCAAACGACTTCAATGGCTTTGGGCCACTGGGGGGCCTCCTTGGGAGGCGCCGCGACGACCAAGCTATCTCGTTGCCTTCTTGGGAGTGTTGGATGTATGCTCGGGCCATCGCGATCCACATGTTTACCGTTTTGCGGGAGCTCGGAAGGAATCTTGGGCTCAGGTTGTTTGGATCAGTCTTGGGGTCGTCGTTTGCCCGGGGCGATGTTGGACGCTTTGGCGATCCGCGCCCCCCTCTGGCACAGACCTTCAGGGAGAGGGTCGGGGAGGGGATAACACGCTCCCCCCAAGGAGGGCCAGGGATCCTTTTGAAAAAGCAGATCTCCGCTAGAACACCTACGCCCAGAAGACCACTGGGAGTTTCACGAGAGTTGGGGTTATTCATCCATTGAGCGACGCCAGAAAACGGGTTCGAGTGCGTCGGCATTGGCGCGTAAGTGGCCCGCGTAAGGCCGCGCACAAGTGCCCCCCACCTCCACCGTGGCGTGCCGTGCTGGCGGCCCGCGCAAGGCTTGGCCGAGCCGTGATGAGGATGAGTCTGATGATGACGAGGATGAGGAGCAGCAGCAGCAGGAGGAGGAGGAGGACGACGAGAAGGAGGGGGAGGAGGAGGAGGAGGAGGAGGAGGAGGAGGAGGACGAGAAGGAGGGGGAGGAGGAGGACGAGAAGGAGGAGGAGGAGGAGGAGGAGGACGACGAGAAGGAGGGGGAGGAGGAGGAATAGGAGGGCCGTCTCACGTGTCACATGTCGCATTCGATTATGTAGGGGCTCTCTTGGGGCTGCATCGAGCTCCTGGGGCCGTCTTTTTGGCCCTCCAGGGCCGCCCGTGTTTGGGCCCTATTTGCCTGTTTTGGGGTGGTGTCTTGGGGCCGTTGTGGAATTGTCCTGGTGCCTTCTTGGGCCGTCGAAAGGCTCTCTACAGCCGTCTGGCGTTTCTCCAGAGGCGCTCTTGGGCACTCGTGGGGTCCTCTCGGGCCGTCTTCGGGCTCTCGCGGAGGCCTCTTGAGCCGTCTTGAGGCCATCTTGAGGCGCATTGGGACCATCTTGGGCCGCCTTGGCGGCATCTCGGGCCACCTTGGCGGAGGTGGTTCCCTGCCTCGGCCGCCTTGGAAGCTCGGGAGCGCGGATCCATCGTGGCCGCGGGAGGGGAGGGCGGGAGGGCCATGCAGCATTCGGCGAGGTAGATAGGGGGGTCCCGTAGAGACGCAGCAGCCCTAGCAGACAGCTCTTGGCATTCGTCCGCGCCTCAATGTGCCAGGGGGCGCGGTGGTGGATCACGCGGTCGAGTCGGCAGTCGGCGATTGTTTCCGTGCAGGCGCCTGGGGGCCCGGCCAGTGCGAGAGAGCCTCTCCTGGAGCTGCTGCCGATGCTGCCCAGGCTCGTCTCCCAGGAGGGACTTGGGAGGCATCGCGGGAGGCGGGGCAGGGGGCGGGGGCCGAAGGTCACCGCCGACGATCCCGCCGCAGCCGCAGCAGCAGCCGTTGCCGCCGCAGGGCCAGCCGCAGCCGCCGCAGCCGCAGCCGACGGCGCCGCAGGGCTCCGCCGCCGCTGCGGCGCCCGCCGCCGCCGCCACGGCGCCCGCCGCCGCGGGGCCGCTGAGTTTCGGGCCCATGGCGCCCGCACCGGCCCCGGCGCAGGAGGCTGGGCCGCAGCTGCCCGCGTGGCCCTTCGTGCCCGGGGGCGGGCGCCAGCCAGAGGCGGCTCCGCGGGCCGTGTCGGTTCGCGGGCGGCCAAGAGGGGGGTGATGGCTGGGGGGGGGGGATCTGATGGCGTGGGCCATGCTATATTTCTCCAGCTTTCATGGCGCCTCTTCTCATCTCATTGCGCCCCTGGCCCCTCCCCCCCTCGGCCGCGCACGTGCCGCCGGCCATGATCTGCGCCCCCCCCTGTTGGAGACCCCTCCCTGTTGGCCGCTCCCGATCGGTGCCGGCGGCCGGCCCTCGGATCTGGGCGCTGCGATTTTGTCGCACGGGGCGTGTTCGCCCCATGCGGGTGCCGGGACCCTCGCGGAGGGGTCGGGCTCGAGAAGGGGTGCAGGAAGATGGGATTTGGGGTTACCGTCGTGAGTTTTGGCGATCCTTTGCAACGTCGGATCTCCGGGCGGTGCGATTCAAAGGGTTACTCCAGATTTCGTAATAAAGGGAGGGGGGTCTCATTTCGGGGGGGTCTCTTCCAGGCTATCTTGGAGGGCCCGGGGGGTCTGGGGACGATGTTTTGGAGGGTTCTCCCACGGGGGAGGTCTGAAATGGCTTATCTTGGAGGGTCCAGACCCCCTCCCTTTTATTACGAAATCTGGAGGACGGAGAGAGTGGGCACAAGAACCAGCAGCGGCTCCTGGCGATGTTTCACAGGATTCGCTGTCGGTGTCGCCGTGGGCGTTGTCCATATGAGACCAAGGTTCACATCTGTTGTTGGGCATCGTACACCCGTTCTTACCACACCCAATGTCCAATGCCGGGCGCCCAAATGGAGGGATGGGGTCCTGAGGACGAGTGGTTTCAAGCAGTGGAGGTTCAGATTGGGATCCCTTTCCTATCTTCAGGGTCCCATCCCTCTGGGCCCCATCTTTGAACTGCCGACAGGAGGCGCGCTTCGCCGCGGGGCCGCAGCACGCGGCCGCGTCGGCGCCGCTGTGGCTCCAAGCGCAGCAGGGCGGTGCGCAGCCCTCGCAGCCCGCCGCGGGGCCGCCGCACGCCGCCGCGTCGGCGCCGCCGTGGCTCCAAGCGCCGCAGGGCGGCGCTCCGCCCTCGCAGCTCGCGGCGCAGCTTGGAGACGAGCGCGCGGCGGTGGTGGCCGCGGTCGGACCGGGGAGCAGCCACGCGCCTCGGCCACCGTGGCCGGCGCAGCAGCCCGCGGGCGCGCCGTCGTGGGGCACAGCGCCGGGGGCCTGCGGGCCGTGCGGGCCAAGTCTTGGGCTCGACGACGCCATGGACGCAGGGGTCTCCAGGAGGGAAAGTGCACAGACCGCTCCCCTTCCCTCGTTTGTCGCCTTTTTGGGCCTCCTGGGAGGCCCTCGTCGCCACCACCGCCGGATTCGCCTCGAAACTCTGGCCAGGAAGCACCCTGGGAGATGTCTGGGGAGTAGCAGTATCGGCACCTTTTGGTGTCCCCAGGTCTTCCTCGTGACGGAGGACAGAGTGATCGCCACGGAGGGCGTCGATCCCGCGTCCCCCATGGTGGGGTCTGTGGCAAAGGGGGCGCTGGCGAGGGTGGTGGAGGTGGCCTTCCGGCCCGAGCAGATGGCGTTCCGAGGCCGCCTGGAGGATCCCCCGGGCTGGATCACGCTGCTGGAGACCGTGACTGGATACCGCCGTGCTCGCCGAGTGGGCCAGCTGGGCCCACAGGCTAGTGGCAAGGCGGCGGTTGCGGTCAGCCAGGCAGCCCAGCAGCAAGGTTTGGCCGCCATGCTGGCGCCGTCGGCTCTCCCAGGGCTGGGCAACGCGGAGCAGGCCGGCAGGCGTCAACTATGCACACGCACACACGCACGCACCGATTCCAAACTGGGTCATCTGGGATCCGTGCGCCCGGCTGGCCTCGCCGCGAGGGCGTGTGCACCGAGCGCGAGGCCAGGAGTGGATTGGCCTGGTCGAGATCGGTTCACCGGTCACACGCACCCCGGTGTCCCCTGAGCCCCTGGCTGTTTCGAGCCCTGCTGCCCTCCCAGACCCCATCGGGTCATGAAACACATTCACGACAGAAGGTTTTCTATTCAGTCTCTGGGGGCCCTGGCCAGGCCTCGGGAGCGTCAACAAAACTATGCAGGATAAATTGTCCTGGGGAATGGGTCGAGACCTCTGGGAGCCGACGTCATGAACAGATCATGGCGTCGGGGGGTCTGGACTTGGGGAAGTCTTGCCGTCTGCCGGGTCTCCCCTGTCCTCCGGTCGCGATGGACCGCGGGCGCGCGCGCGGCCGGTGCCCTGCCAGCAGGCCCCGGTGGTCATCGCCCTCGACGTAGACGAGGTGCTCTGCCGCTACACCGACGGCTTCCGCAGGTACCTGACGAAGCACCGGCCAGACGGGCCACTGGACGCTCGCGCCCCAGCGGGTGGTGGAGCGGCGCCGCGTCCCTGCCCAAGGTGTCCCCAGGATCTGCGAGAGAGGCCTCATCCATGGCCTCCAGAGGGCCGGGGAGGCTCCAGACGGGCGCGGCGTGGACACCTTCGGCAAGGGCCACCTCTGGCTCCTCCTCCTCCTCCTCCTCCTCCTCCTCCTCCTCCTCCTCCTGAAGGAGGAGGAGGAGGAGGAGGAGGAGGAGGAGGAGGAGGAGGAGGACACCCGGGGCGGGAGCGCGGTGCGGAGAGAGGAGGAGGATCTGCGAGAGAGGCCCCCATGGCCTCCAGAGGGCCCCGGGAGGCTCCGGGAGGGCGCGGTGCGTGGACACCTTGGGCAAGAGGGCCACCTCCGGCAGCACCCGGGGCGGGAGCGCGGGGCGGAAGTCGCGGGGAGCGCCATCACAGGTGAATCACCAGCCTCGAGCTAAATCACGGGTGTAAGGCAGCGCGGATCAGCGGCGAGCTCCGTTTCCGTGCAGAATCGGCGCGCTCCGTCGCCGGATCGGGCGGCGCTGGCGCCCTGCTTCGGGGTGTATTTTGGTTGCCCGATCCGTGGGTCTGGCGCCCGCTCGACAGGTCCACGGGTCCTTCATTCGCAGGCCTAGAGGTTGAGACCAACACCAAGATCGGCGGTGTGCCTCCACCGAGGGAAGACGATCCCGATCTCGGTGATGGTGGTAACACTCTGGCTTCCAAGGTGGCCGAAATATTACCACCAACACCGAGATCTAGGATCATCTTCCCCTTGTAGATGCAACCCCCTTTGTTGGTGTTGGTGCCAATTTCCAGGCCTCCAATTAATCCATGTTGGCGTGCGCCCGAGGAAGGGGAGCTCGGAGGGAGGGGTGAGGGCCGGGGAGGGGGAGGGCGGGGCGTGCCAGGTCGACCCAGAAAGGGAGCACGTCACTCCAGGGCGTCGATCGATCTGGAGGAACGGCCGCGGCGCCCGATGCCTCCTCCAGGAGCGCCTGCTCTCAGAGATAGCGGGTTGATCAATACGTGAGGCTTCCGATTTCGCGTGTGTTGCTTGCCGGTGCATCCTTTCGTAACGGGCCCCCTTGGATATTCATGTGGCCAATTTGGAGCCACAAAGACAGAAGCAAAAAGACATAGATAAGCCTGGCGAAGGATCTAACTCTCCACTACAAAACGCAGCGCAGCTGGCTGCGCTCCCCCCAGGTGTGGGACACGAAACGATTGATGAGGAGTCCGCCCAACAGGTGCGTTGGTTACATGCACCTGGTGTCCGATGGGGCCGTTTTGGGCACCCCGTACGGGGTGCGAAACGCAGGAGTGCTATGCGGAACCGGGTGCGTCGGCCAGTTATCCAGTTGCCGCTGGCAGTTCCGTCACCGTGCCAGCGCAGCGTTCTGGGTGGCCATTATTCGAGAAGGCAAGGAGGCCTGCTGGCGGCTTTTCGGGGCAGAAGCCTCGAACTCTGGGTTCCTTGGGGCCCTCTTGGGCAGTCGTGGGCGTCTCTTGGGCCGTCTATGAGCCTTCTTGGGTAGTCTTGGAGCTCTCTTGCTCTCTGGGGGGCCTCTTGGGCCGTCTCGGAGAGTCTTGGGGGCCTTTTTGGGCAGTCTTGGAGCTCTCTTGCTCTCTTGGGGGCCTGTTGGGCCGTCTCGGAGAGTCTTGGGGGCCTTTATGGGCAGTCTTGGAGCGTCGGAAGCTCGAGAAGGCGAGAACTCAAAGAACGTTGAAGCAGCAAAGCAATCGCTTGTTTTTGTGTTTCGGGGTCTTTGGGGACCGTTTGGGGGGCCTCTTGGGGGGCCTCTTTTGGCCCTTCTGGGGCCTCCTGAGCCATCTGTGGACGGAAGGCTGGAATTGCTGGTTCGTGTTCACTTTGTTGGGGGAGTCTTGGTGCCCCATCCGGTCGCCCTAGGACGTTGGAAGCTTGGAAAGGCGACAACCCGAAGAACATTGAACACCCAAGGGGGAATCAATGAGTTGTGCCTCCCGAGGCCCTGTCGGGAAGGCTCTTAGGGGCTCTCTTGGGACGCCTCGACGGCCTCGTGAGCGGTCTTGAAGCCATCTTGGGACCTCTTGGACTCTGCGGCCGTCTTGACGGCCTTGGGGACCTGCGCTGGCCGTCTTGGAAGCCATCTTGGACGCTTGGAGAGCGCCAGAAATTTTGAGGCAACCCAGGAAGCCTCGGGGAGAGGGGGCGGTGCATGCACGGAAGCGCGTCTCGAAGGAGGGGGGGGACTTTGTTAGAAAATTACAGAAATTCGGCCAACCCGACCTTGGCATTCTTCCACGCCTCAACGTGCAGAAGGCACGGTGGCGGATCTTCTTCCGCGACAAAAAGTATCTTCCGCATTCACGGGACGCGTCAGCTCAAATCGTTTTGGACCGCGTGCCGATCGCGCTCAAGCCAAAGCAGTGGTTTCCGAGGTCAGGGGCACGACGAAGCGAGCAACGCCAGCGAACTAAATGCGCGGGACGAGCATAGCGCGTCGGGTGCATGCGGCCATGCCCATTGGGGTCGCAGTTGAAGCGCCTTGTGTTGCTTTTAGATTGAAGGCGTTGTGAGCCATGTTGCGCTATGTGGATGCGAGTGTTGGGGGCTAGAGTCCGCAGCCAGCTACCCCCTGCTAGCGACTTGGACAAGCATGGTTCGAATTGTATATCGAGTCGCCAACCCATGAGTGTATTATATCAAGTGGTCAATGCGCACATGGTGGCATGTTGTCGCATGTCGCAAACTCAACACCAGACCGTGGATCCACACTCACGCGACTCGGCATCCATGGTCCATAGTTCGCTGCCTGTGTGCTCTTGGACACAGAGGGCGACAGGGACAAGCGTCTCTTGAGATGGGCGCCGTATTTCTGGACGGACGCCCACAGAAGCGTCCTTGTCCTTTTCCTCTCCTCTCCTTCTCCTCCTCCGCCTCCTCGTCCTCTTCCTCCTCCTCCTCCTCCTGATCCTCCTCCTCCTCCTCCTCCTCCTCCTCCTTTTTCTCCTGCCTCCACTTCACACAGGCGCTGATCATCGGTGTTTCTGCTATCTAGTGGACAGGTTCATCCCGCCACTTTCTGGGTTGTTGTCCAGAGGCGTTTTGGATTCCTATGTGGGTCTCTCGGGAGGCCTATCCGGGGCCGCTTGGACCCCTCTTGAGGGGGCTCGTGGGGCCTCTCGGAGAGTTCGGGGGGGGGCGTTTTGGAGGCCTGTCGGAGGCCTCGTAAGGGGTTCTGCGGGGCTCGTGGCGGCATGCGTAGGGTCTTGGGGGCAATTTTCGGAGGAAAGGTTCAAACGCCCCCTTCGCTCTCCGCCTGTTGGGCCTCCCTTCAGCATTTTTGGAGGCCTCGTGGGCCGTCTGGGGGGTCTTCTGGGTCGTCTCGGGGCGCGGCCGTCTTGCGGCCCCATTGCGGGCCTTTTAGGGCGATCCTGGGAGCCCTTTGGGTCGTTTGGGAGCGTTGGGAGCCCGAAAGGCGAGAATGCTGAAATCAGTCCCAAACACGGGGGATCAATGATTTGGCCATCTTGGGAAGCATCTAGTGGCCGTCTTGCACCGCATTTGAGGCCATTTGGGCCTTCTTGAGGGCATATTAGCCTGCCTTGGGCCGTCGTAGGTATAGGGGCTTCCCTCCCCCGTCTTCCTGCTCCTCATCCTCCTCATCCTCCTCATCCTCCCCTCCCCCCTCCCCCACGCAGACGCTGACAGCTTGTGCGTTGTAACTTGAGCGTCGTGATGCGAAAGCAATCGAGCATGAAGATGATAAGAGATTACTCACACTGAGCTTGGCCGATTGCGCGCTAGATTTTCCATTTGCCTTCCAGGGGATCGCACCAGCACCAGAGCAGGTTCCCAGGCCGCCTTCCCGATGGGGCGCGAAACGCGGGAGGGGTGAGCCGAATTCGGCGGGAGGGGCGCACGCGCGCATAGCCACTGGGGCCGTCTGTAGTCGAGGCTCACTGTGGTGCACGAGCCGTGCGAGGCCGAATTGGGCGACGGGATTGCGCACGCGCGGAGCCCCCCCTGGAGCCATTGTCGGGATCATCACACTCGGCACGGAGCGTGTCACGGGTGCGCCGACTTGATAAGGGGGGCGCATGCGCGCATTCCCGTTGGGGCCGTAGTTGCGGCCCCGTATGGGGTACGAAGCGTGCGAGGGATGGGGGGGACCGCATGCTTCTGTAAAATTCTGCGCTGTGCTGTACTTCATTGCCTCACTGCACTGCACACTGGACTGGACTCTACGTACTGTGGTTGCTGTGTTGCGCTTGTACTGACACATTCCCTGAATTGGTTTCTGGCCGTTGGACTGTCAGGCTGTGCCGACTCCATGCCAGACGGGTTGGGCAGAACGCAGCGTGGTTCTGTTCGTTCCCTCGTCGATATCGAAACTTGTTGGGCATGTTTGAAATTCTGGGCATGCGTCATCTCGGCATCGATCACAGTCCGTCGGGCGCGATAGGCGGTTCGTGGCATTCGGGCAGCGGGTGCAATGCGCGCTCTTGGTACCCCCCTCGTGTCCCATGCCCCACCGCTGTTTGCGCAGCGCTCGGGCGGGGGCAGAAGTTCTCCTCCAGCCAGCAAGCTTGAGTCTGACTGCACTCGGATCGCGTTGTCGTGCCCATGTTCCCGAAACCTGGTCAGAGGTCCAGACCGTCTTCCAGGAGGCTTACGACGCGCAGAACAAATGGAGGCGGCGTGCGTGTGACTGCCGGCTTGGCCCTCCCACTCCTTCAATCCCCACCCCTTCCTTATTCTGAGAAGCTCCTCTTGTCTCTTCCATGTTACTGTCTTCGCGTTACGACTTGACCGTTCTTATTCCCTGCCCTTCCTCCCGCACCGCCCTCCTGACCCCTGGCAGGAGAAGGAGGAGAAGGACGACGGCGGCGGCATTGCAGTTTGAGTTCTTCTTGGTGGTATCTAAGGGGGCCCGGGAGGGAAGGAAGAGTAGAGGCAGGGAGGCGCGATTGTGTCCGACACGATCCCTTTCACTTTTCGCTGAAGCCAATGCCTCGGACGACGCTGTCCTGGCGGTGGCACGCCTTCGGCCATCTACTGCGATGCAGCTGCAGCTCGGTGCCGTCATCCTGATGACATGGAGCGATTATTGTACGGCATGTTTTAGGAAGGTCAGGCGATCACACGACCACGCCGCTCAGAGTTCCAGCGCCAGAGCGAGTGGTTTGCAGGGGGGGGGTCTGCGTGGCTGCGCCCCGAACTCCCCACGAGATCGGCTCAACATGGCGGTGGGCTCCTGCTTGGCATCGCTCGGACGTGCGCATTTGTTCTCGGCAGCGACCATCTGGGAGCATCGAGCCATCTTGCGACGAAAAATATACGCACGAGGCCGAAGCCTGCGCGGGAAGTGGACGCCCGAGCGATGGCGAGCCCGGGAAACATGCCCCAAGCCCTCCGGACCCCCCTTACTTGCCCTCCCCGTGCACGACGCCCAAATGGCACCCCCGTGGACGGAACACGCTCCGTGCACGTCCCTGCTGCTCTCGTTCCCCTCGGTGCTCTTCCTTCTTCTCCCAAGAATCGCAGGCCCAGAGGCTGACACCAACACCAATATCGGCGGTGTGCCTCCACCGAGGGAAGAAGATCCCGATCTCGGTGATGGTGGTAGTATTCTGGCTGCCGAGGTGACCGAAATATTACCACCAACGCCGAAATCTAGGATCATCTTCCCCCTGTGGAGGCAACCCCTGGTGTTGGTGTTGGTGCTCATTTCCAGGCCTCCGCAAGAAGAGGTACCGCCCCATCCCCCGACAATAACAACAACCCTGATCCCCTCCCCTCGCCCCCGCGCCAGGCACCAGTTCGCCCTGAGCGGCGGCCTCGACCGCCTCGACGCGGTGCCCGGCGCCCTTCTGGCGCTGCGCATGCTGCTCTCCGCGGGGGCGCGCCTGGAGGCCGCCCGCGGCTCGCACCGTCGTCGTCGTCGTCGTCGTCATCGTCGTCGTCGTCGCCGTCGCCGTCACCGTCGCCGTCGCCGTCGCCGTCGCCGTCGTCGCGGGAGGGGGAAAAAAGTGCGCAGCCACCCTGGTGGGCAGAAAGCATACAGTGGGAACCCATGCCCAGAAACACCCTGCTTGCCTCCGGGGTGCCCCGGGTTTCTTGGTTTTCGATGGTTTCGCGAGGACGCGGGATCGCGCCCTAGAATCCAGACCGCGAGGGCGCGAATACGGACATGTTCGCCGCTCGTGGACCCAGCAATTGCGGATGAAAGCGGGGGGCGGGCGCGGGGTCTGTCACGGGTGGGTCGCGGGTGGCCGCGGGCGAGCTTGCGGGGGGGGGTTGCGGGGGGGGCGATGACAGCAACAACATACGTCTTCCTACCAGGTTTGGGGGGACACGGCCTAGGAGAGCGGGAGTGGCACGGCCTACCAGGCTTGGGGGGACACGGCCTAGGAAAACAGCTGATAAGGAGAGTGGGGTGGGGAATGCAGAAACCGAAACTCGAAACTGATTTCCCAATTGGGGGCACGACGTGCCCACACCTTCCGCCCTCTTCACCGTCTGTCGTACCCTTTTGGGGGTATGTCTTCCTTACCTGCCACGCGTATCTGGCGCAGCCACTAAACCAGGGGAAGCGAGGACGGATGGAAGGAAGGGACAATGGCAGGGAGAAGGATGGAGCACGAGAGAGTTTTACAGGAGGGGGGCTAGGAGCAGAAAACATGTGGCATAACCAGACGGACAGATCGGGCGAGCAGACCCTAACGGGCGGGTCGGAGAGGCAGGCACGGGCGACTGTTCCGAGCAGGCAGGATGTTGCAGCGTAAGTCCTGAAGTCCCGCGCGATAGCGCGATTCTCAAATAATTCGCGAGAAATGCCGCAGCGAGAGCGTGATTCCTGAGTGTCGAAGGCGCGGCGTTTCAATGAACTGCGAGGACATTCCACGCGAGAGCGCGATTGCTGCGTAAGTTGCGGGGGAGACCCGCGCGACAGGTTGCGATTTCGAATAACTCATGAGGAAATATCAGGCGGGAAACGGTGTGGTGGCAGTTCGGAATCCAGCAAGCCAATCTGAGGCGCAATCTACACCCTTGTAAAAATGAGGATGCGAGCCCAGGGAGGAGCAATTCAATTGAAACGCACGATGGGCACCGTGGGGATCAGCAATAATCGAATGACCTTCGGCCCATCTCGCCACCGTTCTGGGCATGGGGTCTACAGGATGTTCGCTGGGATCTCGTGAGGCAGGTTTGAAACCTCATGGGGCCTTTTTAGGGTCTCTTGGGGGCCTCTTGGGGGCCTCGTGGGAGCCTCCACGGAGCCTTTGGGGGGCCTATTGGGGCTTGGATGCCTCCGGGGGCCTCTTGGGGGCCTCCTGGGGCACAAGGCTCGGATGTTCTGTTCGTGCTCCCTCGCTTGGGCCCTTTGGGGGGGCCGTCTTGGGGCCCTCCTCATCATCCTCCTCCTCCTCTTCCTCGTCTTCCTCCTCCTCTTCCTCCTCCTCCTCATCCTCATCCTCATCCTCTTCTCAGGCCGCTGGGCTGAGGTTAGGCTTTGGAGCGACCGAACCTCATGTACAATCGTACACCAGCGACATCGCGCCCGCATCCGTAGGCCCGAGGGACACTGGGGCCTGGGGGGCGTCCATGGTTTCTCGTCCTTGTGCGTCGCGATGCGGATTTGCTATTACAACCAAGTGGATGCTGCCACTCTGGAGCGCTTAGAGGGCATTGGTTGTGAATTTCGCAGCTGGGACATTATCCTGTTCAGGGGCGCCTGTCGATGGGCGGAGGCGGAAGCGTCCCAACGCAATATCCTATCATACCACGAGGCGCTACAGTTTGGAGCAAAGAAAAAGTGGACCAACAAAAGTGGCGGGGTCTCCATATGCATTAGCACAGCTCTAGGGTTTAGCCTTGTTTGGGGCATCTACCATCCACCGACAGCCTTGCCGGCGAGAGTTGCAGGTGCGCGACTCACCACAGCGCGATTCGACTATGCACTAGCTGTGGCTTACTATGCGCCCACCCACTTGCAGTACCACCTTATGCTCGCGGGCGTCATCAGCCACTGGCTGGAGGCACGTTTCGACCGATTCAGCTGCCGTGCGACGATAGTGGCGGGGGGACATAAACAACGACTTTGGGTTCCAGCGCGACCATGACGGGGGAGTGATCTGCAGTAGTAAGGGCCCGACAGTCGGTCCCAAGGCGCCCAAGCTTGAACATCCTAGCGGGCAGAGCTTTCGGACGCTGTGTGCAGGGAGCGACCTGGGTATTGTGATTGCGCATCACAACATTGAGCCTACTTCCTACGGGCACTCTGGGCACACTTGTCGGGTGGACCGCATTGCGATACCCACGGGGCCCTTGGGAAATGTAGAACACTGCGCGCCACTACGTGCAGCAGGCAAGCGTCTCCAGCGGATCCAGACTGGAGGGTGCGTGACCACGTCCCGCTAGGCCTCGCCATCACCCCTCACCTCCCTCGCCCCTCAGCCCCGACCGCGCCCCGCCAACAACAGGGATTGTGCAGGGGCGGGCTCGCGGGGTGCGTCGGGAGGGGTCACGAGAGGGCGGAGCTGTTCGATGCCATCGGCGCCGGGATCCGACAGGTGGGGGGGGGGGGGGGGGCAGCCTGGGAGGGGGCGTTCGAGGAGATCACTCCTGGCAGCACTTGGGGCCTGTTCGGGGGGGGGCAGCGCGACGAGCGATGAGCCAGATGTTCGGCGCGCGCCCTCGCGATGATGCCGACCAAATCGTAAAACGCAGCGCGTGCATTTCGCTTCGAGTCACTCCGACGGCGACGTACGATGCGAGAGCGGCTGCGCGACGAACGCGGCGACATGGAATACGACTTCGCGCGAACTGAACTAGAGAAGTTACAGCGGCGCTCAAAACAGCCAGGGAGATAACCGAAAAGACGAAGAGCGAAGATAGTCGAGCTGATCTGGCTTGTCTACGAGGGGCGAAACTTTGCTGAGATGCACTGTCCACGGGTCCAGCACCGGCGGAGTGGGCGTGGCCCGAGGAAGCGGCGCCACTCGATGCCGAACACGAGCTGGCCCACGGCATGCGGGGGGCAGGAGTTAGCCCGACCACTTCTTGAGGGGGGCCTGGGCGCGCGACCGATAGACCGAGCCGCGACGCGTATTGGGCGTGCAGCACATGTCGAGGACACAATTTACCCGCTCCCATGCGACCACGACCTCCGAGCGATAGCAGCGAGCGACGCAGCATCCATGCTACGATATTGCAGAAAAGCGCGCAAACGACGGACCCGGCCAGCACGGGGGCCCCCGACCACCGTGGCCGGGCCCACCTTCGACCCCGCTCTCCACTTGGGCCCGACAGCGCTGAGCGAGTCTGTGGAGAAAAGGGTGATAGAAGCAGCGGAGGAACGAGGGGGCGAGGAGGACCTGGCAGACTACGCCATCTTGGGCCGTTGTCGGAGGGGTCGACAGCTGATGCAGAGGACGGGGTGGCAGAAGGGCGCGGCTTTAGGCAGGGGCGGGAGCCGTGGGGAGTACGAAGCAGCGCGTCAACAGCAGGTGAACGGTAAAGGCAGCGCGGTCTCACGACGCGGGCAGGGGCGAGCGCGCCGGGATAAGGGGCGCAGAATATGTCAGCACGCGAATGCGCGCGCCAGCCTATCCTTGATCGTTTCCATGAGCAGGGCAGAACGACGCAAGTCGCGCCGCTGGACTGGCGCGGATCGCAGGCCGCCCCCGCGGGGGGGGGGGGGGCAACAGCAACGGGGGGGTCCTTGGCAAGCGCGCATTAAAAGCGTGCGACTCCTTCAGTATGGCACGGCGCTCTGGCACGCCGCGATGTGGAGAGCCATCGACGCCCCCCCCTTCCCGCCCCCCGCCCACCCCCGCGGGCGCAAGGGGAGCTCCCACACAGATGCAAGGAAAATGCCATCATTTGTGTCTGCGCAGCGCAGTGGAGGGCCAGCGAAGGCGGCGTCGTCACGGCCGCGACCAACTATGATGGCACCAACGCATTCGCAGCCACAAATCGGGCGCTCTTGCGAGCAATCGCTCACATACGCGCCCACGAAAACGACGAGCGCTTTGCAGTCTCGGCCATGGACCATTCCACCCTTAGTTTTGCAGCCTCCGGCGGTCCAGTCGAGGTCGAATGTGCCGCAGGGGCCCAGATGGGCTTTCTCCTCTGCCTGCGGCAATTGACCGACGCCTACAGCATCTACGTCACTGTCACTCCTTGGCGGGAAGAAGAGCGCCACGACCCGAGCCAACAACTACACGATTCAATCAACCCCACCGGCGGAGCAACATTCGACTTCGCGCTCGACGCATTCATGGGCGACGTCGCGAGGGCGCGGAATTTCAGCCGGCTCACGCCGCGCGGCCATCGAAGCAGAGTTGAACACCACCACCGCACGGATAGCCATTGCCATGGCCAACGACGGCCGGGGCCTCATCCACGGGGAAAAATACAACCACTTGGCACATGTGGCGCCGGGCAGCTATGCAGCAAACAAGCATTTACGCAGAAGTAAACGCTTCAGGGATCGGCGCCGTGAGAAATGCGGGTACGAGGCCCATGTTTGCCTGCAGGTAAAGGGCTTGCAGGCGAGGTGCGCCGCCGTATAGCAGCAGTGCATGCGGCGCGGAGACCACGCGGCATGTTCTGGTCGTCAGATACATCCCAAAAGATCAAGTGCATGATGCTTATGGCGTTCGTAGTAGGAGCAGCGCTAGGCGGATTGACCCCTTTTACTGTTCTGCGTGCCCATGCCGACGCGCTAGACAGTGCGCTTGCGAAGCACATCGGGACGATGGCGGGAGGGGTTACGTCGTGGGAGAGAGGAGAGAGAGAGAGAGAGAGAGAGAGAGAGAGAGAGAGAGAGAGAGAGAGAGAGAGAGAGAGAGAGAGAGAGAAGAGAGAGAGAGAGAGAGAGAGAGAGAGAGAGAGAGAGAGAAAGAAGAGAGAGAGAGAGAGAGAGAGAGAGAGAGAGAGAGAGAGAGAGAAAGAGAGAGAGAGAGAGAGAGAGAGAGAAAAAAAAAATGAAACCAAATATATATATATATATAACAAACAAAAAAAAACGGCACGGCGAGGTGTAACACGAATGCCCAGGTTTTCCGCTACTGGAGGTTGGAAAGGACGGCTGTGGCCTTCAGAGTACTACGGTATAGGTGGTATCAGAGTTGGACACGCTACCCACGAGAGCACGGATCGGCAGTAGCAGCAGTATTCGGTACATCGAAGCTCGACGCCAGCCAGGGATTGCGACGTATGAGGGACGACAAATGGGTCGATACCAGCTCCACCCCATGGGCCCACCAGCACCTAGAGGACCTCCAGGCACTTGCATCGATAGGCGAGAGCATGGGATGGTTTGAAACAAGGACCTCGGATGTGGCGACGTGCAGACAAGGAGAGAGGAGGGACAGGGTGGAGGGGAGGAGGAGGAACTATTCAAACCGTACTGGTGCGATTATAAAACGAGGGGCGATCAGGGGCATGAGATGGTATGTGGACAACGGTTCCCCACCTATGCTGCGCTCGCTGGGCGTCGCCGAGAGACGCACCACGTGCGACCACTGGCGTCCAAAATAACGTCCGCGGCGTTGCAGCGCGTCTGCCAACCGACGGACGGCTGTGGATCATTGTATGACAGCGGCCCATCACCGCGGTATCTATCACACACCACTCCCGATGGCCCCAAGAGGTCCAGGCGCCTAGCACATTGGCATGCCGAATCTGTAACCAAGAGGCTCAAACTCTAGCGGGGTTTCAGGAACATTCCGATTCGCGAGCCCAGAGGTGAAGCAGCACGCAGTACCCATCCTCGTCACCACGGGCGACCAGAGCATGGTCTGGCGGATCGAGGGCGAGCGCGGAACGGGAAAGACCGCGGAGCCGCAGAGAGAAGCACGAAGGCGACGATTTCGGGCCAGGGCAAGGGCGGCAACGGCGGGGCACCCCTGGTGGAGGCGGAGGCGGAGGGGGGGGCGATGACGGGGGATCAGCGCGACGAGATGAAGGCCCTCCAGAAGCTGACCTCCCCAGAACAGCGCGGCGATCAGGGGCGCGAGTAACGGCGTCGGCGATTTCTGGCTGATCGGCCTCGCCAGCGACGCCGCCCAGTCCAGCCTCGCGACGGGGCGCGAGTGCGAGCGCAGGGCCAAGGAGCGCGGCAAGGGCCACAAGTTGGGGCCACCGCGCGGACGCGTAGCCGCCAGTTTCGTGGAAGGCCTGATCGAGTTCATGAACAACGACGTCGCCCTTCCAGAGCACATGAAACCAGTCCTGGTCACGCTCGATGAGTTCGCGACAACAGTCGACGGCGTTCGGGGGGTGAAGGTGACGACGGAGATCTAAGCAGTTCAAGGTGCAGCCGGCCTGCCAGGGCGACGACGCGATGGCCGACAGCGACCGCGCGACGAGGATTTCCCTCGCGATCAACGCGAGCCCGTTCTTCGGGGCAGCGCTCTACAAGGACAAGGAGGAGGGGGGCCAGCCCCAAGCGTTGCTCGGTTCCAGGCGGCGATATTCAAGCAGGCGACCAACGGGGCCATTGCGCGCCCGGGCGGGGCCAAGAGCGTTTCAGGAGGCCCAGGGGCGAGGCTCGAGAGGACCGTCGAGCGCCAGCTCAACAAGAAGCATTGAGTTCAGGATCGACCGAGGCACAAGCGCCTCCAGCACAGCGTCGCAGCCCGCCAGAGCCATCAGCTGACGCAGGCCCCGCGATGTCCGACAGCGCCAGTCCCGCCCGCTGGCCGCCCGCAGCGCCGCCAGAGACACGAGAAGAACATATAGCAATGGAAATCAGTCAGGACCTAGTGACCTAGTGCGACTCCAGGACCTACAGAACACTGCACGGTAACACGGTGGGTTTCATGGGCAATCTCGCACGCATTGCTAATTACTACAGGGACCTACGCACCAGGGCCTACTGCTCGGCGATGCAGTAACCAACGGGGGGGGGGGGGATTGCACGAGACCCCCCCGCCCAGAACACTGGGGGGCGGGAACCACCTCCCACCTTCCCCCCTCCCCCCGCCCCTCTCTGCGACGAGGCCAGAGGCTCGATGTGTCTGAACGGAGTCGATCCACGCGGCGGCCGGCCCCGCGGCCGCCCGATCCGCATGGCGAAGTCGACGAAGCAGCGCAGACGTCGCCAGCATCAGGATTGGTGGCGCATCATGCAATTACCTTGCTTCAGGCGCTCCACCTTGCCCTGCGTAGACAAGAGATCCGACACTTAGGGGTGAAGGCCACGCACCAGCTGCGCCAAGGCTTAGAATTCGCCCCCCCCCCCCCCCCCCCCGCAATTCGCGAGCTCCGACCCCGCGTGGTGCAGCGACTGAATTGGCAGTGCCAGCAGGTTATGAGATTTGCCGCAGGTCTAGCTGATGCGACCGCGCAGACGCCGAGCTTTGCCTTCGACAGAGCGAGCGAGAGCAGGCAGCATCCCATTAGCCAGCTCAACGAGGCATTCCTGGCAGCGCCCGAGACCGAAGACGAAGTCGAGTAGGTAGCGGCTGCTTGCGCGGAGAAAACAGGCACCCGTCTCCTGGAGGCCGTCGGAAGCTGCAGCGTAAGTTGAGACGGCGAAAACAAAGGGCGGCGCGACGTGGCGACGGACGAATAACCGACTATCAGTTTGCGCGCAGTGCGCGCGTGGCCCCACAGCGGCGGACAGCGTCAAGTTAAGGGAACTACTGCAGCTAATGACTCCGAGCCAACCAAGGGCACTGAGGACGCCGCCTATCAATGACCACAACTACGGTCCTCGTCCGTAGCTTTGTTCGGCTCAAACTTCCAACTTCGAGCTCCGCGACAGCGACGAGGAGCGACCTCGACCGGCAATGGGCGCCGGCGCGGTGGGAGGCCGCCCCCCGCGCTGGGCGAGTCCTGGCGGCGACGGTGGAGACCCGGCCCCGAAGATGCCACCCCAGCGCCCACAACGCCGAGGAGGCCAGCTCGAGCAGGTCATCTGCTGCATGGAGTACCAGCTCAACACGGCGCACGCGAGCATGCAGGTGGCCAGCGAGACCTACGAGCAGATCCAGGATCCCACCCTCATGACCGCCGCTGCGCTCCAACACCAGCAGGAACGACCCGCCGCCTGCCATGGGCGCTGGGCGAGCTCCCGCAGCCAGAACGTCTTCGAGGAGATGGGGCGCGCGCAGGGCATCGAGGTCATCGGCCACCAGCTGCCGAAGATCGCGCGCGCGATCCACGTCGCAACGGAGCTCCACGGGTGCATTACCGACTCGTCGCGCTTCATCCTCGGCCCGTTCCCGCGGGAATTGGACTGCGCTCGCAAGCAGAAGGGCGAGTTGGGCGGAGACTACCTGCAGCGGTCAAAAAGCCAGCGCGGCTTTGGACACGGCGCGGCGGGCGCGACGCAGCCAGCGCAGCAAACGCCAGCAGGGGCGGCCACCTACCAGCGCGCCGAGAGCAGCCAGCCGTCCGCTTCGGTCCAGGGATGGACCGCCAAGAAGTTCGCGCTGCAGGAGGCCCCCCCGCCGCAGTCCTTCCAGCGTGCGAGTAGAGATGCCCTGCTCGTGGGCCCGACGACGGCGGCGAAGGAAGGCCAGGGGCTTGGCAGCCTCGAGTGAAGAGGCGCGTCCACATGGATCGCAAGCCTGTCTCCCGACAGTCGTTGTTCGCTGCTGCCTGATCTAGCCTTTCTCAGCCGCGGCCAGTGAGGTGCGGCACTTCCATATGCAGAGCAGCAGCGAGAGAGAGAGAGAGAAAGAGAGAGAGAGAGAGAGATTGCACGCCTTTGAGAGCAGGGGTCGCGGGGGCGGGCACGATCGAAAAGTACCAGGCCGACCTTGTTTTAGCGCGCCTCCTTGCAGGGGGGAGGTGGGGCGATGGGGGGGGGTGACAGGGTGGGGAGCGGAGGCCCTCAGAGCTTGCCGCCCGCCTCTTTTGAAGGCAGCGGCAGGCTCCTGCTCTGACCCAGAATCTCGAAGGTGCAGGGGATCCTGCAGCAGGGCAGCGGTGCGGAGGCCCGCATGGCAGTTTCCCGCATAGCCTCGCCCCGGGCGGTTCATCAGGGCTGACGACGCTCGGACCGGAGGGGTTGCTTCCATGTCATTCCCAGTGGTCACGAGTGCCCGGAGTTGCAGACGGCCCGGCCCCCTTACGGCCATATCCTTATCTTTGTCCTCCTCCTCTTCCTCTTCCTCCCCTCTTCCTCCTCCCCTCTTCCTCCTCCTCTTCCTCCTCCCCTCTTCCTCCTCCTATTCTCACTGGGCCGCTTTGCTCTTTGGCCTTCTAGGTGCAGTCTTGGGGGCCTCTTTAGCCGTTTTGGAGCGTTGGGAAGCCGGAAGGGCGGCGAGAAAGCGAAAAACCTTCAAACACCGCAGAACGATCAATGATATTTGCTTCTCGCGGCCCTCTTGGGAGGCCTCTTGAGGCGTCTTGGAGGCCTCTTGGGCAGTCTGGGCGCCATCCACAGCGTCTTGGAGCGATAGTTCGACGAGTCGGGGCCCTCTTGGACCGTCTTCATGGCCTCTTGGGACCCGCTTGGCCCGACTTGCTGCCTTCTTGGGCCGGACAAGTTCATGCGAAAAGCCGCGGGGCAGCCCGAAGGAACCGCGGCGAGTCCAAACAGATCTCGGCATCTTGGGTTCAGACTCCGCAGGACTCAGGACTGAGGCCCCAGGGGTTAGGCAAAGGACTCGAGGTTACGCCCATTCCGTGGGAGGCACAGTGGCAGATTATTGTGTAGAAGTGAGAAGTCAAAATCAGTTTACCATCACGCGCCATGCTTCTACATGCCACATGCATCCATCATGATGCCACCCCCTTGTAGGGGAACTGAAGTGAAAGGGGCGGTATTCCCACACCCAGATCTCCCGTCTAAGTAGGTCGAGCCAATACCTCTCCCGAGCCATTTTCCCGCTTTCAGCTCTCACGAAAGATGGCCAGACATTGCGACGTTGGGGGGCGCTGAGGATTCGAAAGAAGAAATATTCGGGCCCGAGGAGAGATGCAATATGCAGGAACAGACGGCAAACACGATGGTTCGAAACCCAGATGAGGGGCAATGTTTAGGAACATGCGTATAACGCAAAAGCAGCCGAGCCCCAGTCGAGAAGCAACGTATAATAACACTGGAAGACACACTGGATCCGAACCCCAGGAGAGGGACAATTAATGAGAACACGCGCGCAGTTCAAAGGATTCGAGCCCCAGGAGCGGGACTGCAAAACCTATGGGGGGTAGGAAAAAAAAACATCCCCCGAACGTCTATCAGAAACAACAACGTCTCTTGGGGTCTCTTGTGGGCGGGGGGGGCCGAAGAGCGTTCCTCGAACTCATGTCCCAATACGGAAAAATCATGTCCTGGGGCTTCCTGGGGGCGGGAGGGCCGACCAAACGCTGATTACCCGAACACGTATCCCAACACAGAAGAGTGTCTCCTGGGCCCCCCCGAAGGGGCCGAAAGAGGCGCTCCCCGAGCACATCTCCAGTGCAGGCCGTGCGTACGAGGCGCGCCTCCGGCCGTGGCGCGCCTCGGGGCTTCTTGGCGCCTCCTGGGAGTTCGGGAATCCCTGCGGAGCGCTCCTGGGAGCCCAGGACCGCCTCCGCCTCCTCCGCCTCCTCCGCCTCCTCCTCTGATGCTTCTTCGACCACCCTGCTTTTCTTCTTTCTCTTCCTGTCTTCCTGCTGGTGACACTTCCTCTTCTCTTGCCTGCGCAGGCTGGAGTGCGATTCCTCTTCTCACCCCTTCTCCCTCCTCTTCTTCTTCTTCTTCTTATTATTCTTCTTCTTCTTCTTCTTCTTCTTCTTCTTCTTCTTCTTCTTCCTCTTCTCACTCCTCTTCTCCCTCCCGCACCTGCCTGTTGCCCTCCCGCTGCCCTCCGCTCGCCGTGGGGGGCGCCGCCCCCGCGCGGACCGCAGGTGGTCACGTCGCGGCCGCCGGTGATGCGGGAGTCCACGCAGGCCTCGGGGGCCCTGAGACGGGGGTCAGTGCAGACGGGGGACAGGCAGGGTCTCCTCCTCCTCCTCCTCCTCCTCCTCCTCCTCCTCCTCCTCCCTCCTCCCTCTCCTCTTCAATCGGAGGTCAGCCAGAGCGCCAGATCTTGCAGGATCCTGCAGAGCCTTGGTTGCACTGACCCAGGCCAGCGCGCAGGATCCTGCAGGATCCCGCAAAGCGGGTTTGCGCTGACCTTGGTGAGTCCGTCCCCGAGCAGGCCTTGCTCGAGGGCCTGTTTGGCGCTGACGTGTTCAGCGCGATGCATTTCATCGGCCCCGGCGAGAAGGAGCGGCGCAGGAGGATCGGAGGAGAGAAAAATCGCACGAGCATGAATGGACTGAGCTGCGCGCGGATTTCTCGGATCTGCGTCGGAGCCCCCGGGCGGCGCCTCCGGCACCGCCCCTGGCGTGCTTCGCGCGCCAGGTAGGGAGGCCGAGCGAAGATCCAAGCAGTCCGCGCGGACCTCCAAAAGTTTATGTTCGTGCAGTTTTTTGCTGCTCTAGACTAGAGGAGGTGGGGGGGGCCAGGACGAGGACCAGCAGAAGGACCAGTAGGAGGAGGAGGCGCATGAGGAGGACCAGTAGGAGGATAAGGCCAGGAGGAGACCAGTAGGAGGAACAGCAGGAGGACCAGGAGGAGGCCAATAAGGAAAATGCGCTAGTGGATCACCCTGAATACATTAAAGGGAGGGGGGGTCCAGAACCCGCCCCCCCCTTTCCCCCCCTCCCCCCCTTGGCGCTGGAAAGGGGGGGGGGTCGGACCCCCCCCCCTCGTGTAGGGAGTACGGAATTGTAGGGAGTGGTGAGTAGTGAGTAGTGAGTTAGTGCGTAGTGAGTAGTGAGTATTGGGTGGTGAGTAGTGGGTAGTGGGTGGCGAGTAGGGAGTAAGGAGTAGGGGGTGGGGAGTAGTGAGTAGTGAACAGTGAGTAGTGTGTACTGATAAATGAGTCGTGAGTGGCGAGTAGTGAGTAGTGAGTAGCGAGTAGCGAATAGTGAGTACTGAGTGGGGAGTAGGGAGTAATGAGTAGTGGGTAGTGAATCGTGAGTAGTGAGTGGTGGGTGGCGAGTAGTGATTTGTGAGTAGCGAGTAGTGAGTAGTGAGGAGCGAGTAGGGCGTAGTGAGTAGTGAATAGTGAGTGGAGAGTATTCAGTAGTGAGTAGTGGGGAGTGATTAGTGAGTAGCGAGTAGGGAGTAGCGAGTAGCGAGTAGGGAGTAGGGAGTAGGGAGTAGGGAGTAGGGAGTAGTGAGCAGTGAGTAGTAAGAACTGGGTAGCGAATAGTGGGTAGTGAGTAGCGATTGGTGAGTAGTGGGTAGTGACTAGTGACTAGTGAGTTGTGACTAGTGACTAGAGACTATGTAGTGACTAGTGAGGAGGGAGTAGTAAGTAGTGAGTAGTGAATCGTGAGTAGCGGGGAGTGAGTAGTGAGTAGCGAGTATGGGAGTAGCGAGTAGTGAGTACTGGGTTCTGTGTAGTCAGTATTGTGTAGGGAGTAGCGAGTAGTGGGTAGTGAGTAGTGATGTGTGGGCAATGAGTAGTGAGTAGTGGACAGTGGGTAGTGGGTAATGAGTAGTGATTGTTGAGTAGTGAGTAGGGAGTAGCGAGTAGTGCTTAGTGAGTAGTGAGTATGAAGTAGTGAGGAGTGAGTAGGGAGGAGGGAGGAGGGAGTAGTGAGTAGGGTGTAGTGAGTAGCGAGTAGTGGGTGGTGGGTAGTGAGTAGTGGATAGTGAGTAGTGAGTCGTGAGTAGTGAGTAGTGAGTAGGAGTAGTGAGAAGTGAGTAGCGAGTAGCGAGTAGTCAGTACTGGGTAGTGAGTAATGAGTAGTGAGTACTCTTCGGGGCTGGGGTTAGTGATTGGGGTAAGGATTAGGGGCTTGGTTAGGGTGGGGACTCGGGGTACGGGTGGCGGGGGTCGGGTTCCGGAGTCAGGGGGCGGCGTGGCGAAAGGTGGGGGGGGGGGGGGGGTGCAGCCAAAGGGGGGGAGGGGGGGTCGGACCCCCCCCCTTTTGAAAGGGGGGGAGGGGGGGGGGTCCCGACGACGGATCGGGGAAAGAGGGGGGGAGGTCCCCGACGACGGATCGGGGAAGGGGGGGAGGGGGGGGGTTCCGACGACGGATCGGGGAAGGGGGGGGGTCCTAACCCCCCCCCCCCCCCCTTGGGGAGATCCAGCGGCGCACCCTCGCCAATAAGACTAAAGGGCCAGGAGAAGGAGGAGGACCAGGAGGAGGACGAGCAGGAGGAGGAGGCGCACCTCGGCTCCTCACGGCGCGTTGGCCGCGACGGGGCGGTTCTGTGTAGGCTCGCGTGGCATGGACGTGCAGTGCCACACTGGTGAAGTGAAGCGGAGCCAGAAGATCTCTACAAGCCCGTCGTTGAGAGTATGCATTTGTTCCAAGTCTCTTAGATGGGGTCCGAGTAGATGGGGTCGAAGAGTCGCGCCGCATCGCCGATGCATGCCCGATGCGGCTCGATGTGGAGCCCGATTTGCTTCACGTTGACTTCGCCGATGCAGCGCCCACGTCGACGATGCGTCGCCGGTGCATCGCTGATGCATCGCCGATGCATCGCCGATGCATCACCGATGCATTGGAGGTGCGGCGCGATCCTCCGACCCTATCTAGGAGGCAATTATACATCCAGATCTAAATCCACTCTGGGCGCCTTCCTACTTCAAAAGTCTAGCGGTGTTCCCTCTTACCTTCTTTTACAGTGGGATGGGCGGAAGCCCAATCTATTTCCACCGCTGTCCTGTTTCATGTGCCGACCCATTTCTTCCGACAAACGGATATTGTTCTGCGCCCCTCGCAGCATCCGTGCGACCGGCGCCAGGGCTTGACTTGCCGCAACATTGGCGCCGCGGCCCTGGTGGACGATCAGCTACACAACGTGGTGGACGCCACCAACCACGGCGTGCAGTGCGTGCTGTTCGATCTGAAGGGCGGCTACCCCTGGGGCGCCGTCGGGGCGTGGTCTTGGGGAGAGCGCCTTCTCTCAGGAGGGGAAAAACACACACAGACACAATTAATCCTCGATTCCCCAGAAATTATGGGAAGATATGGGAAGTGGGGGGGAAGACGAGAACCCTAAAAATATTGGAAAATATGGGGAATAATTTGAGTTGTGTGCATTTATTTGTGTGTCCTGGGGCCCCTTTATTCTCTCCGGCCGAACGAGAGGGGGGGATAGGGAAAGGGGGGGGGTACGAAATCTGCTGCACGCAGCTGGTTTTGGCCCCGCCGACGGGCCCATTCCTCGATGCATGGGCGCCTCCCGGCGCCGGGAGGCGCCGGGAAAGTCAGCTACGTGATCTGATTCTCAAATCCCCCCCTTTGCTATCCCCCCCTTTCGCCCGAGCTTCACCACAAGCAGACATCCGTGTTCAGGGGGCGAAGGGTGGAGACTGAGGCAGAGCAGGAAACAAAGGAGAAGGAGGACGGGAAGAGGAGGAGCAGCAGCAAAAGGCAGATGGAGGAACATAGAGTCATCCGTGCGTCGACCACGTGCATTCTCCTTCGTATTGATTGCGTCGTTATGCTTCCCTCTACTCGGCCATGCTTCCAGTCGATGTTGGCGCACCCTGATGTTGGTCTTGCTCCCTTTTAGGGGTGGTCATGTAACATTCCCTCGCGGGAGGCCAGGGAGCATCTCTTCCCCTGGAAGGTGTGAGCTGGTACACGTCCTCGGTGCCGTCGGCTGTTCAGCATGGGGCGTTCCCCTCTACCTCAGTTCATTTTCTCCTTCTCTGCATCCCTTCGCCAGCTCCCTCATCCGCCCTCCGTCATCCTTCCTCCCTCATCTCTCCTTTCTCCCCTCATCTGAAAATCCTCGCCTCCCTCTTCCCGCTTGCTCCTCTTTCCTTGCCGATGCCGCTTGCGCTATGAGTCTAGTTACGCTGTCACCGCAGGCCGACGCTAGTCTAGTGGAAAGTAATCATACCATCATACCACATCACCCAACTCCACCCCACCGCATCATACGTTGGTATTCGAGCATAGGTAATCCAGGGGAATGGCCGCACGTCGTCCCCCGTGCCCGCCCCCCCTCTCCCCTCCCTCTCCTCCTCTTCAGGACCCGCGGGTTGTGAGGGTCGGGTGCTGCTGGAGGTGCCCGGAGGACATGTGGCCTGTGTTGGGGCGACAATGACCCGGGGCTTAACGCATGGAGACTGGCTTCGGTGGGGTGAAGGTCCCGTCGAAAGAAGAAAAGAAGACGCCACAGGAAGGGATGTAAGAGGAGGACCCAGAAGGATGCCACGGTAGTGTTGATTCGAGGCTGGTTTGGGTTGAGGCAAGCGTGCCTTTGCAACAAGACTCCAGCGGAAAGGGGAGCAAGCGGGGTTCGCCAGAGGGTGCCATGAGGACGGAAGGGTCAGCGATGGGAAAATGTAACTATATTGTGCGCCACTGCTAAAGCTGCATGCGTGGTCAGCTCTGAGTAAAGAGCGGCTTGGCGAGACGTGGGGAAACCAAGGCATCATCGAAAGAGGCGGGAGGTGCTGGGTGCTTGAGGGTCAAGAATCTTGACCCTCAAGCACCCCTCCTCCATATCTTGACTCAAGATATGGAGGAGGGTCGCCAGTGTTAGCGGCGGTGCAGGGTTGGTTCTGGCGGGGCGGTATGTTTTCGAAACGCGCAGGGGGCGGAAGGTGCCGGGAGGGTCCTGGGGGGAACTTGGGGCTGGGGGGGGCGGGCGCGGAGGGTGTCAGGAGGATGACAGTAATTTTGGTCTGTCACGGCGGTGGGCGAATACGTTCAATGTAGGGAACTCAGCGCAAGGGGCGCCTGAGGACGCCAGAGGGCGAGCGAGCTGGAGGAACCAGAATTATTAGTGTCGGGCCTGGGCAGCACGTTGGCCTCGCAAGCCTCTAGGTTCGCGCATTCTTCGAGCCGATGCCTGAGATGCGTGAGCGCGTGCGTCGGTGATGGGAAGCACCGCGACCCGCGCGCTGGCTCAGGAGAGTCCAGCATACTTCGCGCTCTCGTGGCCGCACCCGCCCCCTCCCACTCCCCTCCCCGCTCCCTCGCGCAGCAGCACTCGCGCTCGCTGGGCGCGCAGGTGCACGGCCGGAGGATGTGCCTCCGGGGGTGCAGCGGATGGAGAACTGGTCCAGTACCTGCTTGTTCCTGCTCTCG